ACACATTGTTCTTGTTATTTATCTACTTCAACACTTTCATCTCACAGAGTACACAACTGCAAAAATAGAAGCATCCTATTTACAATATATGTGTGTGTGTGTGTGTGTGTGTGTGTTTCCTCTAGCCAGGTTTTCCCTACGTAACCAAGGTTTTTCTGCAGCCCCAGCTCAGTAGAATCACATCCATTCAATTCTGGGCTTTTTTCCTTTCTAGCAGCCAGCAAGCTCTTCCTGCTAGGTCTATATAGATCTATTTCCAGCTCGTTTGCTTTCATCAGTAGGCCACACCCACATCTTATGTATCCTCCCTGTAAAGGTATAGTATCTAAAGGAAAAAAGCCCAGAATCGAGTGGATGTGATTCTACTGAGCTGGGGCTGCAGAAAAACCTTGGTTACGTAGGGAAAACCTGGCTAGAGGAAAAACACACATAAACCCTACAAAGAAGTAAGAAAATAGCTACTATACCTTTACAGGGAGGATACATAAGATGTGGGTGTGGCCTACTGATGAAAGCAAACGAGCTGGAAATAGATCTATATAGGTCTCCCACCAGCAGGAAGAGCTTGCTGGCTGCTAGAAAGGAAAAAAGCCCAGAATCGAGTGGATGTGATTCTACTGAGCTGGGGCTGCAGAAAAACCTTGGTTACGTAGGGAAAACCTGACTAGAGGAAAAACACACATAAACCCTACGAAGAAGTAAGAAAATATATACACACACACACACACACACACACACACACAAATTAAACATTTTCTACAACACAACTGCATAGATTTTGGTCGTTGCTGCTGTTGTTAAATAAAAAAGAAACAGATTCAGCGATATGCACGTATGTGAGTATCAAGGCCCTATCAGCTCTCAGTATTTAGCAACATTTATTTTTTATCTTCACATTTTGATAACTGAAGGTCTTAAACTGAGGAACAATAGACACATTCAATTAAAAAGAAAGACATATGAAAACATTGTCCAGATGCGAAATAGCATCCTCAGCAATGTTTGTTTATGAATAAGGAAAGACTGCCTGATCAAGAGGCATTTTAAAAGCTATTTAAGTTAATACAGACTATTGTAATGGCATAAACTTATTTGAAAAAAAAATAACAGAACTAATACTAAGAAAAGAAACATGCAAAAGTGTGTCTTTGATGTCATACAGACATCAAAGACACACTTTTGCATGTTTCTTTGGTGTTCACATAAATAGTGCAATATCATACCTAAGGGTTATCTTTTTGCTATCCACTCTTAATATCCTCTAATATCCTAGAGACCAAGCATTATAAATCTGGTAAAAGTGATTCTTCCAGAACTGTTAGATGGAAATGGTGAGGAGGAAATATTATCTTTACAAAAATTGCTCAGTTAGGATGCAATTTTATAGCCCCTGGGAGGAGGTACAAGACATTGGAAATTAGGCAAATCAATGCCCATTGGGCTTCTAAGGCTGGGAGAACATGTTGGAGGAAGGGTATGGAAACATACATTCTATGTCAACCCTGAAGCTCATATACAGAAATGTCAGGGAAATCCTATTATTCAAAACAAACATGAGTAGGAATAGATGGAAAAATTCAAATATTTATTCTTCTTTATTTCTGCCTTGCTGAAAGGTTTACAGCAAGATGTTGTGCTTGTTAAACACTCCAGTGTTGGAGCACTCCAAAAGCAGAAATACTGCTCTGCCACAGTGGAATAGCTTATTCCTCAGTCTCAGGAACTTCAAGATATATGAATATCCAGTATGTCGGCTGGAGAATTCTAGGAATTGAAGTCTAGACTTCTAAAAGTTCTCGAGGTTGAGAACCACTGGCTAATAACCACTGACGATCTGGAACGAGCTCCCCCCAGAAATACGGAGGATCCTGGATCTGCGCACCTTCCGCCGCGAGCTGAAGACTCTTTTATTTCATCAAGCTGGCCTCGCCTAAATCTTTTCCCTTTTAAGTGTAAATTTTAAATTTTAATGTGTTTTAAAATATGGGTATTTTAAATTATGGGTATTAATTCAGCCAAATTTATTTAATTCATTTTATTCGATTTTAAATTTTTATATGTATGTGTTTTATTTCGTGGCTGTTCACCGCCCTGAGTCCTCCGGGAGTAGGGCGGTATAGAAATTCAATAAAACTAAACTAAACTAATACTTAGGAAAAACTTTTATAATTTTATAATTTAAGTTCTTTGCTGGATAGTCAAGCCCAAATTCCTAGTAGTTCACCATTCCTTTTCTGTGGGAAAGCCAAGAGAATGCAATGAAAAGAGCTCCATTTTTGTAGTAATCAGATTGGCATGGTTGGGATGGAATTAATTCCCTTTCTGGGTAGGGAATTTGGAAACAGTTGTCTATATACTTATAACAACCAAAAGTTCCTCCAAGAAACATTTTTAAATGCCTTCTAATTGTAAAGCAATGAAAAAATAGCTCCTGCTCAGTTTTTTATAAACACAAAGGCAGGACAAAGAAAGAGTTTGAATTCTCTCTTTTTTGAAATTTCTTTATGCAAGGACGTCCATGGGGCAAGATATGTCAAACAGGTAGTCCTCGACTTATGATCACAATTGGACTCAAAATTTCTGTTGCTAAGCAAGGCAGTTAAGTGAGTTATACCTCATTTTATGACCTTTTTGCCACAGTTGTTAAGTAAATCACTGCAGTTAAGTGAAGCATGATTGTTAAGCAAATCTGGCTTCCTCCATTGATTTCTCTTGTTGGAAGTTGGTTAGGAGTTACAAATGATAATCACATGGCCCCAGGACAGTGCAACTGTGATACAAACTTTTATCACCATGGGGATGCTGCAATAGTCATAAGTATGAAAAACAGTCAAAAGCCACTTTTTTCAGTGCCATTAAATGAATGATTGCAAGTCAAAGACTACCTGTACTGTATGTGCGGCTTCTTTCTTACATGTGTCACATACATCCAAAATGGGTAGAGCTTACAGCTCAACACAGCTTTCATCATTCTAGCAAAAGCAGCAGGATCCCACTTACACCCATGTTCTATAACATATATTATAGTAAAAAAATAAAGTATAGAAAGCCAAGGATGGCTTCCAAAAAGTTTTTCCACCTCTTTATCAGCAGTGGCCATAGAAGGCATTTTTATTTAATGTGTTAAGTCTGTGTGTTTCTGCTATGCACTTCCCACATGTGGCATCTTTGTGTGTTGTGTGGAGAGGGTGGGCTGTGCATATTCCACTCTGGGCTTGTCATCAGGAGAACTGAGAACTGAGAATGGAGCAATGTCAATATCTTGAGCTGGGATGCCTGGAGGAAACTTCCTAGGGTTTTATTTTTCTTCATACCCTTAAGCCTGATTCAATCCTTTTTAACTAGATCTTTCTTTTTCAGCTAAACCTTCCTATAATTAATATATATCTGTTTCATTCATGTTTCAGGTACTAGTCATCACAATGGAAAGGATAAAAGACAGATAGATTGATTATCCCACCCACTCCCTTATTTCTTCCCAGCAATCCTTTGAGTTGGAAATACCAATAGTACTAGACTTATATACTGCTTCATAGTGCTTTTACAGCCCTCTTTAAGTGGTTTAGAGTCAGCATATTCCCCCCAAGAATCTGGATCCTCATTACTTCAGAAGGATGGAAGGCTGAGTCAACCTTGAGCCGGTCAGCATTGATAATACATTCTTCTTCTTTTGGAATTGCATATTACATAACTGAAGGAATTAGCTGCCCCTAAACTAGTTAATATTTAATTTGCACAAGAGTTTGTCATCATCACACCATGATCTAGATGGGAACCTCCACTGTAATGTGTTGTGAACTATTGCTCTTTATTGCAAATGGTATGTAATTTGCCTTCCAACAAATCAGAACATTTGTAAATTCCCAAAATCTTTATGATAATCACTAGGATATTTTATGTTAAGAACTTGAGGAGCCTGAGTGGCGTAGGAAGCTAATGCCTCCTACTAAGGCAGCATTTAACATCCAGCTGCCTGCAATTACTGCGAGTTCAATTCTCACCAGGCTCAAGGTCGACATAGCCTTCCATCCTTTCTAAGATGGGTAAAATGAGGGTCTGTGGGGGCAATAAGCTGACTTTGTATAAAATATACAAAAGTATGAAGGCTATTGCTTAACGCATTGTAAGCCGCCCTGAGTCTCCGGAGAAGGGCGGCATATAAAAATAAATAAAAATATAAAAAATAAAATATATATATAAAAAAACTTTTGTTCCATTTTAAGAAAAAAAAAACTGAGTTCTGAGGACTCATCTGTAGTACAAACTCTGAAGCAGCTTGCTTTTTTGTATTATCCTTCAAAATGGCCTAATGCCTGGACAGGAAACCTAATTCTATTATCTTTTTGGCCCCAGCATTATCTATGCAAAATAAACCTATTACTGACCTACTTCACAATATGACTGTAAAGAAAAGTGCTTTATAGAAGTCATAAGCACTAAGACCCTCTGAATTAATATACATTCTTAAAAGTGACAAAAACCACAAAAAGACTATCAGGACCATCACTGTTCTAGAATCTGAACCAGCTATATGTAGATGGTCTAGAAATGCCCATAATGAAAGTACAAATATCATAATAAAAAGGATTATAAGCTTCTATATACTTGATAGCAAGCTCTGAAAAAACTCTGGATGCAACCCAGAGAATGCATCAAGATAAGTGTATAAATGCCAGCATGTCCTGTATTCTTTCTTTTCATGAACTGCAGACTCTTGAACTACGGACAATCTCTGTGCATCAGAGGTCAATAGATGGCATTCTCATTTGCATTTTTAGGCTGCACAGTGCCAGTAAAATATTTACCAACCAGTAAAGATGTCTATGATTATACCAGGTGCCATTTGCAATGATGTCTTTGTTGATACTAGAAGAAATTTCTACTGTACTGCTAAAGAACAAAGTCTCTCCTTTTTATTAATTATATGATTTTGGCAAGATAATTGTCAGTATCTATTTTACTACATGATACTAAAATAGAATTTATAATGGATCAGTATGTATTTTCCTTGGCAACAGCTTCTTTATTGTTATTGTTCTTGTAACAGCAAAAGAGAGTTTGAAATTCTCCCAACCAGAAGATCACAACTTCATCAAAGCAAAGCAAAATATATTTACAAATGTAATCCTGGCACCAAGAAATTTTATATCTCACACACATTATCTCTGGATCTGTTTCTTTTGATTTTGGTGTATTTTAATTCAAATAATACTGTAGCGGGACAGGGAGACAAGGTGCAATTTCCTGGGAGACTACTTTGAAAATGGGTACACATGCATGCACATCTCCCACAAGGATAACTGAGCTTAAATAATTAGTTTTTGTTTACTAATACCAAAAGACTCCATAGAATCTATATGTGACAAAATACTAGTTATCTATCTAATCATTAACCACATTACTGCACCAGTGTGATTTACTTTGATCAGGATAATGGATAATGGATTTTAGCTGAAAATCAGAAGAAATATTCCTGTGCAATGTATGAAGCAGTAGAAGATATTCTTCAGGTATTTCATTACCATTTACTGCATACAGAAGACCTATGACCAATGGGATCTGTGAAATTGTTCTGACCACTGTAATAATACTGATGCAAAAATTACAAATTAGCAACTATTTCCTGTGGAAAATATGCAGTGATGATTATTTCTTGTTTGTTTGTTTAATAGAGGAAATTTCTGATGAGTAGGACATACTGGCAAAATAGGTGATTAGTGATTTTTGTGAACAGCAAGGAGATAATGCGTTCTTCTTGGTATCTCACTAACCTTCAGTGGCATGTCTTAATGCACCCAATCATAGATAACAAGAGGAATGCTCACCATGGAAAATAAAATTCCTAATGCCAAAAAGAGGGAAGCCTAGAACCAAAATGAGATATTATTTACATTTATTTACATGCAAAAGTGTGCTCCAATGTGAGCATCCAGGGTGTAGTTCTTAAAGACATTGAAAAGTTGCTACCACAAATTTTGCATTGGAAGAATGGGAAAATTATCAAATGCATGAGCAATATCCTATTAATTATCCTTACTTTATTTAAAAGTAAACTATTTAGAAGTACATTCGTAGGTGTGGGATTCAAAGGGAAAGTGTGGTCTCCAATTTGGGAAAAGCTGCACCCTTCTATTATATAATGATTAGCCAATTGAGAATGGGCTTTAAATATAAGAAGAAATATGTTCATGGGGAAGGCAAGGAAGCCAACACACAATCAATATCTAATTATGTCAGCAATTCATGGATAATTCTATCTTACAAATTTAATTCGGAGGTGTGCAAAATGTTTCTAATTTGCTTCATCTTGCATTCTAAATGCAGTCCTGTTTTGAGTTTAAAACAATTATTTTGCTTTTAAAATAGATGCTTCAAATATTTTGGAAATGGCTTTGAAGTTATTTCAGAATATATAATCTTAGCCTTGTCAGGCATTTCTGAGTTTTGTTCCTGCATTCCCAATATCCTTGGTTTCTGTTGCCTTGTATTGGGAAAGGCTATCAAATGAGAAACCTGTTCTAAGTTTGAAAGCACCATCTGTGATTAAGAGTCCTGTATGATTAGGTTCTCTTCTTTAAATCTTCATTCTTATTCATAAACAGTGCAAGCAATTTACTGCAGATCATTTTAAGATACTGGTATTTGTTTGCAAATGGTACTCCATTTGCAAACAAGTATTTATCTTTGTTGCCTTCTGACATGAATGCTGACTCATTTAGCCGTTTGCATACTGGAAAGATCTAAGACCCTTCACTCTGGAGAAATAGTATGTTCTACCTTTGTTACACTTGCACAGTACAGCTTTTAATCTTGTTTAATGAAGGATAACAAAGCATACTAACTTACCCAAATTCTCTGAATCAGTTTTGAACCATCTTGATGGGTGATTTTCAAATAGAGTGAAGATGGAAGAATAAAAATCAACATATTGGCAGATGTTGTTCCTATGACAATGAGAAACATTTTGGTGTTATAATAAACAATTTATAAATCTAAGCCTAACAAAGGAGGAAATCTTAATTAAATATTCCTCTGCGCATGCCCCAAGATGGCGCTGTCCGTGTGAGATACACTCGATGATGGGATGGTTTCTGGTCATTTGGGGGTCTGGGGAGCTGACTTGACCATCTGCGGCCCCAGCCCCAGTTGTGGGAGCCTCTACGCAGCCTGTTGAGGGCTTTTTTGCCCTCCGGAACGCTATGGCTGGGCGGAGCCGACGCGAGAGGCGCCGTGGGAGAATGGTGATGGCGGCCTGGGTGCGGCAGCCTTCTTCTGCGCCGGAGGCCGCGGAGGCCGGAGCGGTGGCGGCTGTGGGCGCGTCGGCGGCGGCATGGAGCAGGCCCGCCCCTCCCAGGCCCTGGATATTGTCCCGGTGGCCCTGGGATATGCTGAGGGGCCGGGTTCCGTCGACGGTGGCAGCTGAGGCGGCAATGGCCGCTGTGGCTCGATGGCGAGACGATGGCAGCGGCGGCCTGGTGCTTAGCAGCAAAGGAGGGGGGGAGATATGGCCGTTTTGTTTCTGGCCCTACCATCTATACCTGGAATAGACCATCTGACCTGGGGGCTGGAGTCTGGAGGCGGGAGATACGATCAGGGGATTTATGAAGTCCTGGGGGTTGGAGAGGCTGGAGTGCGGCCAAAAAACTGGTCATCTGGTCGCCTCGATTTGTCTCCTCCCCCTACCCATGCCTATGACTTGGTCTTCGGCTTCCCGCCTCCAGATTATGTCCAGCTGCATGTTATCCCTCCCTTTTGAACATCTTCTCTCCCTCAGGTTTAATATCATCATGCCTCCATGGTTTGGCTTCCTTTCTCATCTGAGCCCCAAGCTGGAGGGTGTCTAGGCAATTGTCATGCGGGAGCTGAGGGAGTTGGTGCCTTTCACCAATGGAGGAATAGACCATCTGACTTTCCTAAGCCCTTTCCATCTGGGCTAGCCACCGTGAGAGGGTGGCTTGGATTCTTACCTCCGATTTTGATGAAATGATACGGGACTCCTCCCACTGCAGTGAGAGGGCAGAGGACTCCAGCTTACCGGCTCTGAGATTTATCTTGCTCTAATACCTTTAGACTATTTATCAAACTCCTGACCAGACTTTTTACCTCTCATCTATGTATGGCTTATACCTCGGCAGACCTGCTTGCGCTGCGAGATGCCCCCCTCTCGCGGCGATGGCCTTCCACGTTATCAAAGGCCTACCTTAAAGACGGGCTTTGGAGCCCTGAGAGGTGGCATGTTTCAAAGCGGGGATTAAGGGGTTTTTTAATTAGGGTTTTTAATAATTTTTTAAGGGGAACCGGGAGGATGACCAGAGGGGATGGGGGGGGGGTAATCCACCAAGGCCAGAGCCGAGCCTGGCATGGGGTAACGGTTTGGAGGGTACAGGACGAGGGAATGGGGAGGGGGCGGAGGGCTATCCCAATGAGGGAAATACCATCAGCACGGTGGTTGGGAGGGGCAGATATGGTGGGAGCAGGGGGCCACATCATGTGTTGGGGATGCACACTCGCTGTTTGAGAGCAATTGCACGCCCCGGCCCCCAAGGCTCCTCTCGGATACTAGGTGGCTTAGATACTCAGGACCTGGGCCTGCGGCTGATGCTGTGCAATGCCAGGTCTGTGGTAAATAAGGCCCCCCTCATTCACGATCTTATTCAGGAGGGGAGAGCGGACCTGGCAGGTATCACGGAGACCTGGTTGGGACCGGAGAAAGGAGTCCCTCTGGTCGAGATGTGCCCACCAGGTTTCAGAGCATACCATCAGCCAAGAGCGCAGGGGAGGGGAGGGGGGTGGCGGTTATTATTAAAGAAGGTCTTGGTCCGAGGGAGACCACCGTGCCTCAGATTGCCGGATGTGAGTCCCTCTTTGTGAGATGGGGTCATGGGGTTCAGATGGGCTTGCTGCTTGCGTACCTGGCTCCCTGCCACGTGGCAGTGGCCCTGCCTGAGCTACTCGACGTGATAGCCACGGTGGCAGTTGATACACCCAGGCTTTTGGTCATGGGTGATTTCAACTTGCCATCCGTTGGTGAAACGTCTGGGATGGCTCGGGAGTTCATGGCTTCCATGACGGCCATGGACCTGACCCAGTTAGTTCATGGCCCCACTCACGGGGGGGGGACACACTCTGGATTTGATTTTTGTCTCTGGCCAGTGGTTGAGTGATCTTGTTATAGGGGATATAGACATGGAACCCTTGTCATGGTCAGATCACTCACTCCTTCATCTGGACCTTCGAACCGCTACACCCTGCCGCAGGGAGGCGGACCCAATTAGATGGGTCCGCCCCAGGCGCCTGATGGATCCTGATAGGTTCCAGACGGAGCTTGGGCCAATTCCTGATGATCTGGCACACGACTCAGCCGAGGACCTGGTAGCTGCCTGGGATCGGGCGGCTGGTGAGGCCTTGGATCGAGTCGTGCCTTTGCGGCCTCTGACCCGGTGTCGATCCCTCACGGCTCCTTGGTTTACCGAGGAGCTGAGGGAGATGAAATGCCGGAAAAGACACCTAGAGAGCGGTTGGAGGGCCAGTCGCGCTGAATCTGACCGAACACTGGTAAGGTCGCATATTAAGACCTACCTAGTGGCGATAAAGACGGCAAAGTTTAATTACTTTTCCGCCTCTATTGCGTCATCAGGGAATCGTCCGGCCGCCCTGTTCAGGGTAACCCGCTCCCTGCTCCATTCAGGAGCGCGGGAGGATCCCTTGGAAGGCAGGGCGGAGGATTTCGGACAATACCTGTATGACAAAATCGCTCAGATCCGGGGGGACTTGGACTCTGACTGGGTAGATCAGGGCAGGGTGACGAGGAATAGTCTTGAGAATATTATCTGGGAGGAGTTTGATGCTGTGACTCCCGATGATGTGGACAGGATTTTGGGGAGACATGTTTACTGGATCCGTATCCCTCCTGGTTGGTACTGGCCTCCCGGGAGGTTACACGAGGCTGGCTCCAGGGTGTTATCAACACTTTGTTGAGTGAGGGTCACTTCCCCGCAGCCTTGAAAGAGGCGGTGGTGAGGCCTCTCCTCAAGAAGCCGTCCCTGGATCCGGCAATATTGGCCAACTACCGTCCTGTCTCCAACCTTCGCTTCATGGCGAAGGTTGTTGAGAGTGTGGTCGCGTGACAGTTTCCGCAATTCCTGGAGGAAACATCCTATCTGGATCTGTTCCAGTCGGGTTTCAGGCCTGGGCACAGCACGGAAACGGCATTGGTCGCGTTGGTTGATGATCTCTGGAGGGCTCAGGACAGGGGTTGTTCCTCTGTTCTGGTCCTATTAGATCTCTCAGCGGCTTTTGATACCATCGACCATGGTATCATGCTGCACCGGTGGAAGAGTTGGGGATGGGGGGCACCGTGTTACGGTGGTTCTCCTCCTTTCTCTCCAACCGGTCGCAGTTCATGTTGGCAGGGGGGCAGAGGTCGACCTCGAGGCCTCTTATATGTGGAGTGCCTCAGGGGTCGGTCCTCTCACCCCTCCTGTTCAACATTTATGTGAAGCCGCTGGGCGAGATCATCCGTGGCTTTGGGGTGAGATACCACCAGTACGCTGATGACACCCAGCTGTACATCTCCACCCCAGGCCACCCCAACGATGCCCTTGAAGTGATGTCCCAGTGCCTGGAGGCTGTACGGATCTGGATGGGGAGGAACAGGCTCAAGCTCAACCCTTCCAAGACTGAGTGGCTGTGGCTCCCGGCATCCCGATATAGTCAGTTGACTCCATCACTGACTATTGGGGGCGAGTCTTTGGCCCCCACAGAGAGGGCTCGCAATCTGGGAGTCCTCCTGGATACACAGCTGTCCTTGGAGGAACATCTGACGGCTGTAACCAGGGGGACCTTTTGTCAGGTTTGCCTGATTCGCCAGTTGTGGCCCTTTCTTGATCGGGATTCCCTGTGCACAGTCACTCATGCCCTCGTAACCTCTCGCCTTGACTACTGCAATGCTCTCTACATGGGGCTCCCCTTGAAGAGCACCCGGAGGCTCCAACTGGTCCAGAACGCAGCAGCGCAGGTAGTGACGGGAGCAGCATGGCGCTCCCATGTAACACCGCTCCTGCGTGAGCTGCACTGGCTCCCGGTGGTCTTCCGGGTGCGCTTCAAGGTGTTGGTTATCACCTTTAAAGCGCTCCATGGCATAGGGCCTAGCTATCTTCGAGACCGCCTGCTGCCACCGACGACCTCCCATCGACCCGTGCACTCCCACAGAGAGGGCCTCCTCAGGGTGCCATCAGCCAAACAGCAGGCTGGTGACCCCCAGGGGGAGGGCCTTCTCTGTGGGGGCACCTACCCTCTGGAATCAGTTGCCCCCAGAGATAAGGAGAATCCATGACCTCAGTGCCTTCCACAGTGCCCTTAAAACCTTTTTTTTCCAGCAAGCCGGGCTGGTCTAATTTTTTAAGTGTTTTTTAATTGTTTTGTTTATCGTTTTTAATTAACGGGGCCAAATTTATATATATATATTTAACTGTATTTTAATATTTGTATTTGATGTTTTTATTTGGCTGTTCACCGCCCTGAGTCCTCAGGGAGAAGGGCGGTATACAAATTCAAAATAAAATAAATAAAATAAAATAAATAAATATATTTAACATACTGTACCTACAACTCCAAAAATATCCTTCATGGAAGGTATAAAAATAACCAGCAGGTTAATGATCATCAAAAGGATCAATGTAACCACAATGTGTTGGCATAAATGAAATTTGGTTTTTCTAGCAAGCTCAAATATAGATGAACGAACCTATGGAAGAAAAAAAAAATAAATCTGTTAGGCAAAATGTTACATGGGACAGACATCCTTTTATTAATTCTCCTTCAGAATTATATTCTGTGTTCATTTAGAGGAATTAATATATCATATTTGTGAATATCAGCATTTTCAATTCTATTGCTATTTGTTTCAGCTAGAGCTTTTTTATACTATCATAACTTGTTCTAATAAAACATTAAAATTTTGCTTCAAATTAAAAATTGAATTGCTTTTTTGCCAAATTTAAAATACTTAATCTCTCATACCAAGCAGAATTTTCATGTGAAATTGTTAAAGAAAGGAGAACAATGAACACATATTTATATTATATAATATTTTCACTTTTTACTTTTTTTTTATTTTTTTATTATTTTTTAAAACTGCACTTTCTACTTTCTGATAAATATTTGAACTGATATCATAAGAGCGTATGATTGCCTTTGAGTTCTGATTGTTCAGGAATTCAGAGGAGGCTTGACTTGACTACCTGGGGAATTCCATAGTCTTCTATAAAATACTGCAGTAAAGGTGCTGCCTAGACTTGGATAATATAAACGTATCAGATTAGCTCTTACCTTTCCTGAATCCCTGTTTGTTTCTAGTCCCAACTCAAGGGATAGTTTTAATCTATAAAACTCTTCCATTTGTGGGACCTGAAGGAATTTTTCTGAATGTTCCTATTTGTGCCATGGTCAGCCTCAAAGGCCTGCTTGGGATGACTTCTTATGCTGAGATATGACAGAAAGTTACCCAGGAACAAGCCTTTACATTGGTTGATTACCCAAATTTGGAATGCCTTCCCCAACAAAGTATGGCTAATGTTTTTATTTGCTGTAACAGTGATTTTAAACTTTTTATTGTTGCTTGGAGTTCCTGTTATTGTTTTAATATTTACTTTTTATTTCATTCTGTATTTTATAAAATTCTTTTACATGTTTTATGAATTGCTTTGATTATAAACATCTACAAGGATTTTTTTTTGTGGGGGGAAGTGATATGGGTAGTCCTTGACATATGACTACAATTGAACCCAAAATTTATGTTGTTAAGAGACATTTGTTAAGTGAGTTTTGCCCATTTTATGACCTTTCTTGCCACAGTTGTTAAGGGAATCATTGCAGTTGTTAATAACATGGTTGTTAAGTGAATTTGGCTTCCCTATTGACTTTGCTTGTTAGATCATAAAAAGCTGATCACATGATCCAGGATAATGCAACTGTCATAAATATGAACCAGTTGCCAAGCATCAGTTTTGATTATGTGACCATGAGGATGCTGCAACCATTTTAAGTATAAAAAATGCTCATAAAACATTTTTTTCAGTGCTGTTGTAACTTTGAATGGTCACAAAATCAATCGTTTTAAGTCGATTGCTACCTGTACTTCTCAATTTTAATGTTTAAAATAAATGCATAGAAAGCTAGTTTGATCTTCTGCACTATATCAGGTTTTCTAAATCAGCCATACTGAACACAGATAGTCCTGGAGTTATGAATATAATGGAGCCTGCCCATTCCATTCGTAAGCCGAGGATTTGTGGGAATAAATCTTGTACCTTGAACAGGATCACTCCCTACTTTTGCCCACAAATTTGATAATCGAATGTATTACATCGATACATACATCGAATGTATGGCTCTTTAAGTGCACGTGAGGTATCTCGGGATGGGGAAGGCCAGGGGGGCCTAGTGATGGGACAGGCCACCTGCTTAAGACCATCCAAGGCCTCCCCGACCTACTGAACTCATGCTCCCCACAAGTGTTTTACCTCCCACCCAATCTGCTGCGCCAGGTCACTTACCATGCAAAGATCTAGCAAGCTGCCTCCTCTCCAGCCTCTCAGCTGTGCACACCCCTCTGCAGCTCCATTTTGGTGTGCGTAGGCCTTGCCCAGCACTTTGCCGGCCAAAATTGAGCTACTTCAGACCAGTCAAGGCCTCCCCTGACCACAGATACCTCATTCTCCTCCCCTGTGGTCCCCAAAATTGCTTCCTCCCTCATCCTGCCACATCAGGTGATTTACCTTATGAAGATCTGTCTCTTCTCCAGCCAGTTTCTTTGCCTGCTTCCTCCCGTCATCAAAGGGCTTGACAAGGCCTCTGGTGACGAAAAAGGAGGCCTGGAGGGCTGCGCCGTCCTTCCGGTTCCTCGTTTTTCATCATTGGAGGCCTCGTCAAGCCCTCCTTTCTCGTTGGCAAAGCACTTGAGGATTGTATCTCTTTAGGCTTCGGCAGCCCTTTTCAAAAAGGCTTTGCTGGTAGGAACAGAGCTTTGTAGGGATGCGCCTGCTCTTCCCAAGCTCTGCTGGTGCCAGCCAACCTTTTTGCAAAAGACTGCCAAAGCCTACAGGAATGCACTCTCCCTGCGGGCTTTGGAAAAGAAACTGCAAACAGAAGGAAGGTCTGAAGGACCAAAGCCTTTCCACAGTTTGCAAATATCCAGGCCTCAATTCACACAGAGGCCTAAAGTGCAAGATTACACAAGATCAGTAGCACGAGATCTCGCACTATTAATCTCGCATGATCTTTCAGTACGGTAGGCCTGTTTTCTGCCAATGCACCGAAATGCTAAAGCAATGAAGCAGGCAAAGAAAGAGCAATAGAGATATCTTCGCAAGGTAAGCGTGTCTCCACAGGTGGAGTGCTTGTGAAGAATAGGCAGGGTGAATGTTACAGAGCCTTTGCAGTCATTCGTAAGGGCGAACAACTGCTGTAGTGCAACATTTGTAATTTCAGGACTTCTTCATAAACGCTAGTGGGTACTTATCGTGTAACTTCGAACATTCACTAAGGGAACATTCGTAACTTGGTGCTACTTTCCTACTTTTTAATGGAATGATTTAAAAGAAGTGAAAAAGTTATCATTTCAGTCTTTCCCAATATGGAATCTCTGGAATTGTTTGAAACTATGATCTCTAAGAATTCCCAGCATATTTGTAAGTCCCGGAAAATATAGTTCCAAGATATCCAAAAGGCCAATCCAGAAGAAAGTGTGGAAAAAAGGCCCACTGAACAAAAAACAAAAATTTTGGAATTAAATGCAATGAAGTGTTTTACTGACATGGACAATTACAGTAATCATTGGGTTCTTGGCCAGAACATTCAGAGGTAATTAAATTAAGACACTTTATGAGCATCATATCCAGAGAAACTAAAAGTTTCATTGCAGGTAATTATTTGGAATGATCTGGCTGAAGCAAGCAGTGGGTGAATCTAGAGACCAGAGTGGGTTGGGATACTTTCTGTCTCTGGCACTTCCAGTCTTCTCTTTCAGGATCCCTTTTTTTTGCCGTGTTGCTGCAATATTCATAATTTCAGGACTTATTCGTAAACGCTATGGGGTGCTTATCACATAATTTTGAACGTCCACTAAGGGAACATTCATAACCCGGGGATTACCTGTACTATAATTTCCATTACTTTTATACTGGTCATCAATGAGCAATATCCTGGAATGATGGGATTTATGTCCTAATATAGTCTGGATTTGTGGAAGGCTGAACAATATCACTGAACATCAATGTTGTTTTAATATTTAAGCATTGACAAGTAGCATCAGCAATTATTATTAGGCAAATAGAACACTTCAACATTCCAAATCCCTTTAAACATTCTAGCCTTCAGAGTATCTACCTATCAGAGAACAACAAGGAGCAGAAGGAGGAAAATGAAAGATACAAACAACTGTAATGCAGACTGAGTCAGCTGCGTATCAAATCATAATTCATGAACCAAAACAGCCCATCAATAGAACTTCATGGAGTAAATGGGAAAATAGGATGGCTCAGAAAGGAAATGTTGTTTTTGCAGCATGATCAATAAGTATATTATTTATTAGACACAATTGAGAACTACATGTCTATTGGTTTAATGAAAGCAGAAATGGACAGTTCTTAATCATACTTTTTTTTGAGAAAAAAATATTTTCAGTTTTGCAAATATTTGGAATTTAGGAGGCTGGGGATTGATGTTAACTTGCAATCTATTCCTGCTAAAACAAAAACTAAATAAGGAAGCAAACATTCAATTCTTGTATTCAGGAACTACCAATCTATTAACAAATGTTTGAAACTATGATCTCTAAGAATTCCCAGCATATTTGTAAGTCCCGGAAAATATAGTTCCAAGATATCCAAAAGGCCAATCCAGAAGAAAGTGTGGAAAAAAGGCCCACTGAACAAAAAACAAAAATTTTGGAATTAAATGCAATGAAGTGTTTTACTGACATGGACAATTACAGTAATCATTGGGTTCTTGGCCAGAACATTCAGAGGTAATTAAATTAAGACACTTTATGAGCATCATATCCAGAGAAACTAAAAGTTTCATTGCAGGTAATTATTTGGAATGATCTGGCTGAAGCAAGCAGTGGGTGAATCTAGAGACCAGAGTGGGTTGGGATACTTTCTGTCTCTGGCACTTCCAGTCTTCTCTTTCAGGATCCCTTTTTTTTGCCGTGTTGCTGCAATATTCATAATTTCAGGACTTATTCGTAAACGCTATGGGGTGCTTATCACATAATTTTGAACGTCCACTAAGGGAACATTCATAACCCGGGGATTACCTGTACTATAATTTCCATTACTTTTATACTGGTCATCAATGAGCAATATCCTGGAATGATGGGATTTATGTCCTAATATAGTCTGGATTTGTGGAAGGCTGAACAATATCACTGAACATCAATGTTGTTTTAATATTTAAGCATTGACAAGTAGCATCAGCAATTATTATTAGGCAAATAGAACACTTCAACATTCCAAATCCCTTTAAACATTCTAGCCTTCAGAGTATCTACCTATCAGAGAACAACAAGGAGCAGAAGGAGGAAAATGAAAGATACAAACAACTGTAATGCAGACTGAGTCAGCTGCGTATCAAATCATAATTCATGAACCAAAACAGCCCATCAATAGAACTTCATGGAGTAAATGGGAAAATAGGATGGCTCAGAAAGGAAATGTTGTTTTTGCAGCATGATCAATAAGTATATTATTTATTAGACACAATTGAGAACTACATGTCTATTGGTTTAATGAAAGCAGAAATGGACAGTTCTTAATCATACTTTTTTTTGAGAAAAAAATATTTTCAGTTTTGCAAATATTTGGAATTTAGGAGGCTGGGGATTGATGTTAACTTGCAATCTATTCCTGCTAAAACAAAAACTAAATAAGGAAGCAAACATTCAATTCTTGTATTCAGGAACTACCAATCTATTAACAAATGGACAGAAAATTCCAACTTACAGTGAAAAATAACACAGGGACTGTAAGTATCACTGCAACAATGACGGCAACACGAACAGTTAAGACAAGGATGTCATCTTTATTCTGGTATTTGTGAAGCAAATCTGATTGTACAGATTCTGCAGGGAAAACAATGATAGAGCTGTTCTAGCAGTCAGATAATTAATTAATACAAGCTGCCATTTAGTAAAAAAACATCTCAAACAACTTGTGATTTAATCTTTTGAAATGAGGCTGGTGAATCACCCTTTCAAATTGAATTGTCAGAATGGTTCAGCGCATCAAACTGTGTAGGATCCATTTGTATCTGCTAACAGAGACTTAGACTCAGCAATTCAATATTCAATGAATATTTGTGGTTATGTGCTTTTTCTTAATTGATTCAGAAGTGAGAATCTATATGATTTTCTAATTCAAATCAATTTTCTGATCCGAATTTCAAATTTAAATCAAAGTTGATTAGCATTATAATCTTTTATATCAGGGGTGTCAAACTCGATTTCATTGAGGGCCACATCAGGATTGTGGTTGATCTCAGGGGGCTGGGTGGTAGGCGTGGCCAGCTGAATGTCGCTCATATTGGGGGGCTGGGGGGATCCATTGTCTTCAGAAGAGGAAAGCAAGACCAGGGCAAGCGCCAAACCCTTGTCCACCAGAGGAGCCTCGCTGTCCCTCTCAGGCCATGCGGAGGACCCCTGGACAGCGCCATTGGCTGCCTGGAGCTCTGAGCAGTGGAGGGAAAGCACCCAGCGCTCTCAAGTTCCCAGGGCACCAGGACCCCACAGCCCAGCCCAGCCACACTTCCCCAAGGGGGCGCCCAGCTGCACTTACTCCTCCTCAAGACTGCTGCTGCTGTGCTTGCTCTCCTTGGCCACGTTGCTCATGGTGTGTGCGGGCAGGCAAAGTGTGGGTTCTTGCGAGAGGACCCGGCTTTGTAACCAAAGCATCCTTAGCTATAGGATGGGAGACCACAGGGAGAGGAGTGGACAAGGGGATGGCGAAAGGCCAAATGCTAAGGCAGGACTTTCCTCAGACCCCCTCTCTCATAATCTCTCTCCTTCCTTCTCATTGCCATCTTCCTTCTTTCCTTCTCATTGCCATCTTCCTTCCTTTCCTCCTTCTTATTCCCATCTTCCTTCCTTCCCTTCCCTCCTTCTCATTTTCAACTTCCTTCCTTCCCCTTCTCCTTCCTCTTTCCCTCCTCCTCCTTCTCCTTTCCCACCCTTACTTCTCCTATCCCTACCCTTTTTCTTCCTTCCTTCCTCCCTCCCTCCCTCTCCTCCTTCCTTCCTCCGCACTCAGGAAGGCACGAGGGCAGCTTTCCCATGCAGGGGCGGGGGCAGTCCCAGTGAAACAGAACCCTCATGTGCTGCAAGGCCAGGCTGGCGAGCAAGACATGGAGGTGCTGGTGGTTGGTGTGGTGCTGATCTACAACTTTTGGAGCCATCTAGGCCAGAATGTGGCCAGCCTTAGATCTGATCCACACGGCTACCCTGGAACCAGCGAGGGACCGCCCTGCTGCCTCGGCGAAAGGGAAGCCTCGAGGGCTGTGAGGCCAGGCCAGTGAGAGGGGTATGGAGGTGTTAGTGCAGATGTGGTGCTGATCTACAATGTGGTGGTGGCCATCTGGGCCAGAACGCAGTCAGCCTTAGATCCGCAGTGCTGCTTTGGAGCCAGCTTGGGGCAGCCCCTGCCACCTCAGCCCTGCCCCCTGGGCACACACATAGGAGGCAGCAAGCACTGGCATCCTGGGTGAAAGGATGCCAGTTCCCACACGCTCACCACCTCTTGTGAATGCGCTCAAGGTACGGGGTGGTGGCGGCCCATCGCTGGCTCCAGGGTGGCTCTAAGGCTGACCATGTTCTTGCCTGGATGACCGCCACCAGGTTGTAGATCAGCGCCCAGTTGGCCTGGGCCAGGCTGAAGCACCATGGGCCAGTCCTTCGCTGTTTCCAGGGTGGCCTTGTGAGCCAGTTCTAATAACACTGTGGGCCGGATCTGCCCCGCAGGCTTTAAGTTTGACACCCCTGTTCTATATGTTACTTTCCAGAATCCTGAAACAAATGCAAAGATAATAAATATGTATTGCAGACATAGAAATGTATGCTAATAACTGGACAACCCATGCCCATTGGGTCATTGTTTTAGAGATATTTCCTTACTTAAAGAGAGAAAAAGAATGACCATGGGTGGGCAAAAAAGGAGTGGGAGTGAGTTCTGACTTCCTGCCAGTTTTCCTGTAGAATTACCTTGTGGGAAGTTGGCAGGGAGCATCAGAAATCCTTCCTTCCTTCCTTCCCTTCCTCCCTCCCTCCCTCCCATCTCTTTGCTAGGGAGAAAGTCAGTGGAGAAGCCAACAGGCGGTTTCAAGTCCAAGGCCAGCAGGCAGGTATGTGACTGCCATTGGTTGGGGGTGAAAGTGAGGTGGTGCAGGTCAGAAACGATACATGGAGATGTGTGAGAAATACTGTGGGTTGGGAAGAGGATGTGGATGTTTACTAGAGATGCCATCAGGGATGGTATACAGATGGGTAGTCAGGAGGGTTCCTGGAATGTATGTGAGGTGTTGTGTGGATTGGATAGGGAGTGGAGGGGTGTGTGGGTGAAGCAAGTGCATAGGGTCACAGAGTTGTGTAAGAGGTACTGCACCAGTCAGGGATTGCACATGAGAGGATGTGGGTAGTGCTTGAAGGTGCTTGGGAGTGTATAGAGTGTGATATGCAGGTCAAGAGATGGTGAGTGGGGTTACATGAAGGGTGTATAAGGGTGCCCAAGAGGTGCTGCATGGGTTGGACAATGCGCATGAAAGGACGTGGGTTGGAGAAGGTGCGTGTAGTTGTACAAAAGGTGCTACATTGGTCAGACAAGGTGCTAACAAGGGATGGTGCAGATTACAAAAAGTGTGACATGGAGGGCACAACATTGGTCAGGGAAGGTGTATAGGGATGTGGCACAGGTTGGGGGAGCACAGAAGGGAGTGGCATGGACTGGGAAGGGCTTACAGGGATCCTGTTCCTCTTCCTTTTCCTGCCTTCCTTTCTTCTTTCTTTCCTTCATGAAATTTCATTTCTCAAATTTATATACCACTCATCTTGTGGTTTGAGGTGACACTGGGTGGCTAAGGCTTTTCCCTTTCCCTTAAAGTGGCTGTTTGGGGAGGTGGGGGCAAAAGCCTGCTAGACTGGCTGAGAAATGTCATGGAATATTGAAAATAAAGATCATGTGACCACAGTCCAGTCCAGCAGCAGAACAGCATCATCAGATAAGAAAATATCCTTTTCAAATTAAGCATGAGGCCTCTTCATTTGGATGTTGCTTTCTGTACAAAGAAGGAAGAAAGTGGCAACATACGCATTTTATAAAATTCATGTTTGACTGTGATAATGTTTGAATTATAGGGTAATCATTATTGGCCTCAGTTGCTTGCTTTAAAAAGTATTATGAATCAAGAAGTAACCTAAAATATCATGCATGTTAGGGAAGATACATACATACCATAAAATGTCAAGTAGCCAAAAATAGCAGTTAAAAAGTACATGACAAACATGGCAAAGAAAGAGATTTTTGTAACCATCTGCATTCTTTTCTGCGAATGACTGTAAAAAAAAGGGGGAGGGGGAGAGGAATGAAGATAAATGAAGATTGGTGGTATTATTATTCCATTATTTTTTCATTCAGAGGCTGCCTAACTCCTCAGCAACATTTATTAAACTTTAATACATGCTCACAAACACTATACCATTTACTATACTCATTTATAGATAAAATGAGTAATAATGTGAAGCTTAGTTACGAAGGCAAATAGTAAAAACCGATACTTCATTCTTAATCCAACTCTTTTAACAATGAGTAAGGGCTAATATTCCTTTCATGGATCACTGCCTTGTCGTGGCAAAGGGGCTTGTGCAGCGCAATGAAGCTATGAGCTATGCCGTGCAGGGCCACCCAAGATGGACAGGTTGTAGCAGAGAGCTCTGACAAAACGTGATCCACTGGAGAAGGAAATGGCAACTCACTCCAGTATCTTTGCCATGAAAACCCCATGGACAGTACCAAAAGGAAAAAAGATATGACACCGGAAGATGAGCTCCTCAGGTCGGAAGGTGTCCAATATGCTACTAGGGAAGAGCAGAGGGCTAATACTAGTAGTGCCAGAAAGAGTGAAGTGACTGGGCCAAAGCTGAAAGGACGCTCAGCTGTGGATGCATCTGGTGGTCAAAGGAAAGTCCGATGCTGTAAAGATCTATACTCCATAGGAACCTGGAATGTAAGATCCATGAATCAAGGCAAGCTGGATGTGGTCAAATAAGAGATGACAAGACTGAACATCGACATCTTAGGAATCAATGAACTAAAATGGACAGGAATGGGTGAATTTAATTCAGATGAACATTACGTATACTACTGCGGGCAAGAATCTCTCAGAAGAATTGGAGTAGTCGTCATAGTCAATAAAAGAATAGGAAAAGCAGTACTGGGATACTGTAAGGATCGCCTCTCCTTCCAACTTAAGAAAGTACGAACTCTTGAAACGTAGTTGTTCAAAAGGATTCTTTTATTAAGCAGAAGTGAAAACCATCCAGTTAAAGCACAATCTGAATGCCCTTAGGCAAAGCAGTAGGATTAAAGTGGTAGAGACCCCTCCCTTTAGGTCAGAATGCGGATTTCAGCCAATACACAAGTGTGAAGATGTTTTCTTTACTATTTCCTTTGAGAACCCGAACATACATGCATTCCCACCACTTCCCTTTAAAGTGAGACAACCCACATGGCTATCATATAAATTCCTGCAGGTAAAGGGAATCTCAGGCTTCCTTGGCGCCAGGATATAGGTTGTAAAATATCTGATGACACAGGCCATCCAAGTCCCCCCTTCCTTCACTTGAATGGCAGTATCACTTTTAGGGATCTGACATGCTACCCTCCTTAGAAAACAAAAGGGTCCACCTGTAAAAAAAAAAAAAAAACAAATATACACAAGATTTCAAGATTTCATGATAGTAGATCAACAAGGTTTGTTAGGGTATTGGGAGTGAAATTTTCTCAGTAAGATTGGAGCCCTAACGTGGTGTTTAGCGACCCATTCATTGTGTGCTGATGGTAAATGTTTCCAAGCAACTAAGTATTGGACTTTCCCTCTGTGGATCCTAGAATCAAGGATTTCCTTGATTTCAAAGTGTTGTTCACCTTCAATCATGATGGGAACAGATGGTGTAGATGCAGGTGGTCTGAGGGATGAGGTTACTTCTCGTTTGAGTAAACTGATATGGAATACTGGGTGGATCTGCCTGAGTGTCTTTGGAAGAAGTAGTTCAACTGCTACTGGATTTATGATTCTAGTGATGGGGAAAGGTCCAACGAACTTTGGCCCTAGTTTCTTTGATGGTTGTAATGATTTCAAGAATTTTGTAGATAAGTATACTCTGTCTCCAATATGAAAAGGTTTGGGTTCCATCCTTTTCTTGTCAGCTTGAATCTTAAAAGCTTCTCTAGCTTCCTGTAAGGCTAATCTAACCACTGGCCACGTGTTTCGCAAATTATCTGTTAAGTCCTCGCAGTACCGACGCCGGCAAACTCTGTTCTTGCTGCCCTCCCGTGATTGGCCAAGTCGTGCTGGATTGCCGAGCGGGAGAAATACACCTTTATGATTGGACGTTCTAGTTTGACAGCTCGCTACTTAAGCAGCTGTCAGGCAGTTTCTTCGTTCGTGAGTTTCTGAGGTATTCGTTGTTCTACGTATTGTTGGTTTAAATAAAGAGTTTATTAAGCCTAGCCGTGAGTCCATGCCTTTGTTCTAGGATAGAACAATTGGCGATGAGGGTGGGATCGGCGACGGCTGTGGCAGGGCGATAGAAGCAGCACCTGTCTCTCACGCTGACCATGTCAACGTTTTTGCCAGTATTTTCCCCGTTCGTCCCATCGGCAGAAACATGGGACACTTATATGGAGCGTTTCGAGTGCTTCCTCCAAGCGAATGCATTGACTGACTTGTCCAGCGCTTGGAAACGGGGCTACTTCCTCAGCTCCTGTGGAAGCGAGATCTTCGGAACCGCCAGGGCTCTAGCCGCCCCACAACAAGTGTTTGACGTTCCGTGGGACACATTATTGGAGAGACTTAAGAATCATTTCTCCCCCACACCATCTCGTATAGCGCGCCGTCATGCATTTTGGCAGCGCTCACAGTCGGAGGGGGAATCTGTGAACGACTACATGGCCTCTTTGCGCTCCGCAGCACTCCACTGCGAGTTTCGTGATTTGGACGAGATGCTTTTGGATCAATTAGTCTGTGGCATTAAGGATTTAAAGCTGCAACGGTGATTATTGGCGCGGTCCGAATTAACACTCCAGGTAGCCCTGGACGAGGCCAGGGCTGCTGAGATGTCCGGCCGTTCTGCCGCTGAAATTCAACAGTTCCAAACGCCCTCGGCAGCCGCTGTGAAACCTCTGTCCATCCATTACGAGGAGGTTGGCCTGCCGGGTTCCTCCTCCGATGACGAGAGAGAGGTGAGCCGCCTCAGGGCGACTCGTCGGCGACCAGGAGTGACCAGCAAAATTCCAACATCAGCCCAAGACTCTTGTTTGGGCTGCGGTGGCAACCATCGTAGAACCGACTGCAGATTTAGGACCGTGATTTGCCGCCGCTGTGGCAAGAGGGGCCACCTATCTCGGGTTTGCCGGGCTCCCAATCCCATGGCCGCCCCTTCTACTGAGCCTCCACCAGATCGCCGCCGGGGCCGGAGATCGGCCGTTCGTCATGATGGCTGTGTTGCTGTGACCCATTACGAGGACCTGCTGGAAGTTGCTGTGAGCAATGCTTCTTCTTCTCCCGCTGCCAACAAACTTTTCCTCACGGTGGTTCTGGAAGGATCGACCTGCCGCATGGAGGTCGACACGGGTTCCTCCAAGTCCCTCATTGCCTGGTCTACCCTAACCAAATTACTGCCTGGGGTGTCCCGACGGCGGCTTAAACCTTGCCCAGTCATCTTAAGGGATTATCAAGGGAAGTCCATTGCTACATTGGGTTATGACACTTTCCAAGTATCCTATCAGTCCTTCTCTGGCAAACTACCACTAATTGTCGTTAAGGACAATCTGCCTAGTTTGCTAGGCCTAGACTGGTTTGCCGCACTAAGGTTGACTATCTCGGGCATACACTCCGTGTGCCCAGATGTTGCTTCCACATTAGCCCTTGAATTCGTGGATGTGTTTTCCGATCAACTGGGCAAATATACGGGTCGACCCATATCTTTTAATTTGGATCCCCAGGTGGTGCCTGTTAGACTCAAACCACGAAGGGTGCCCCTAGCCTTGCGTCCACGGGTAGATAAGGAATTGGATAAGCTCATTGCCCAGGGTGTCCTTGTACCCGTAGATCACGCCAGCTGGGAAACCCCCATTGTCATTCCTCTGAAACAGGATGGGACCATTAGGATCTGCGCTGACTATAAGTGTTCCTTAAATAAGGCGCTGCAGGCCAACCCCTACCCGGTGCCGGTGGTGCAGCATCTACTGCACTCCCTGGGCCATGGCCGGGTCTTTGCCAAGTTAGATTTGGCCCAGGCTTATCAGCAACTCCCCGTTGATGAGCCGACGGCCATGGCCCAAACCATACTCACTCACAGGGGTGCGTTTAAATGCACCCGACTCCAATTTGGTGTAAGTGTCGCCCCGGGAATATTCCAAAGCATCATGGAACGATTGCTTCAGGATATTCCCGGGGTAGTTCCTTATTTTGACGACATATTGGTCTCCGCTGGAGACCAATCTGATCTCCTCGCTAAGCTGCGGTCTGTCTTGGGCCGTTTGCGCAGCGCTGGCCTCCGCCTTAAAAAGTCAAAGTGCGTTATTGGGGTTCCCCAGGTGGAATTCCTGGGGTTCCTCATAGACGCTAGAGGAATTCACCCGACCCCTTCCAAGATCGCCGCCATCAAACACGCCCCCACCCCCACCTGCAAGGCGGAGCTACAGGCTTTCCTGGGGCTCCTTAATTTTTATTCGGTTTTTCTCCCTCATAAGGCGTCCTTAGCTGAGCCCTTGCACCGCCTCCTTGATTCTAAGGCACCCTGGGTGTGGAGTCGCGCTGCTGCCGCGTCATTTCAAGCTGTCAAAGACGCGCTGACGTCACGGGCTGTTCTTGTCCAATACGATGAGAACTTGCCTTTGTCCTTGACTTGCGACGCCTCGCCTTATGGCATCGGCGCCGTTCTCAGTCATATTTTCCCTTCGGGCATTGAAGCCCCGATTGCCTTTTACTCTAGGACCCTGTCCGCCCCGGAGCAGAATTACAGTCAGTTGGATCGCGAGGCTCTGGCGGCTGTCGCCGGGGTCAAGCGATTCCATGATTATCTGTATGGCCGGTCTTTTACCCTCATCACCGACCATAAACCCCTGCTTGGGCTGCTCTCCGGGGACAAACAAACTCCCATTATGCTGTCGCCTCGTATGTCCCGCTGGGCCGAGTTCTTGGCCGCGTATTCCTATCATCTGGCCTACCGTCCGGGTTCGGCTATAGGGCATGCTGATGCCCTTAGCCGTTGCCCCTTGGCTAATCCTGATTCCGACCCAGCTCCCGCGTCCTCTGTCCTTCTCATTGAAGATTTTGATTTCCCTATCACCGCTTCGGACATTCGAGCTGGGTCCACCACGGACCCAGCCATTTCCCAGGTATTAGACTGGGTCCGTAGGGGGTGGCCCAAGGGTCCTGTCCAGGCTGAGTTTGTTCCCTACCTGCGTAGACAAAACGAGCTTTCAACCCTACAGGGTTGCCTCCTCTGGGGCCACAGGGTTGTTATTCCGACAGGGTTAAGGCGCTCTGTTTTGGCCCACCTCCATAACTCACACCCGGGCATTGTTCGCATGAAGGGGCTGGGCCGCAGCTATGCCTGGTGGCCTGGCATGGATCGCGAGATCGAACACTGGGTGGCCACATGTCCTCAGTGCCAATCGTCCCGGCCAGCCCCTCCAGCGGCCCCAACTAGGGAATGGGAAGTGCCACGGGCTCCCTGGGCGCGAATCCATATGGATTTCGCTGGCCCTTTCCAAGGTCACATGTTCCTGGTCGTCGTTGATGCCTATTCTAAATGGCTGGAGTTAGCTCTCATGCACTCCACAACGACCGACGCAGTCATTAGGGTCCTAGAAGGGTTGTTCGCTACACACGGGCTTCCCGATACCATAGTCACCGATAACGGCCCACAATTCACTTCGGCACCCTTCCTGCAGTTTGTGACCAAACTAGGCATCTGCCACACGACAACAGCCCCTTTCCATCCGGCCGCTAATGGTCAAGCGGAAAGGGCCATGAGATCGGCCAAGGAGGCTCTAGGCCGCCTAGGGCCTTCAAATTGGCACCGCAAAATTAACCAATACCTTTTAACTCAACATACGACCCCCTGCCCAGTCTCAAAAACAAGCCCGGCCGAACTACTTATGGGCCGGCGACTCCGGACCGTATTGGACCGACTACACCCCGCTTACGCGCCAGAAGAATTCAAGGCAGGAAATAAACACACCTGGACCTTTGCTGTAGGGGACCCTGTCTATGTGCAAAATTTCAGCACAGGTGTTAAGTGGGTCCCGGGCCACATTTGCCAACTAACCGGACCCTACTCTTATAGGGTCCAGCTCGACGATGGACGTGTCTGGAGGCGGCATGTGAATCAACTACGGCGGAGGGCCTTCACGACGGCGGGCCTCCCATGTGAGCAAGCAGATCCTGCCGAGACCATTAAGCCACCGTATATACCCACTAGGCCGGCCTCACAAGTCCAACCTACAGCCTCTCTGCAACCCGATGCGTTCTCGTCGGTTAACTCACCTGTTCCAGTTGATTCTCCCGCGTTGACAGTTGTTCCGCCCACTCCTTGTTCTCGGCACTCCAGCCCGGCACAGGACAGCACCATGACTCCGCCTATGCCGAAGGCCAGCCCTGAACTGAGACGATCTGGGCGGAGCCGACGTCGGCCTGCGTACTTAGAAGATTACGCATGCGCGGTCCAGGTGGGAAGGAGTGTTAAGTCCTCGCAGTACCGACGCCGGCAAACTCTGTTGTTGCTGCCCTCCCGTGATTGGCCAAGTCGCGCTGGATTGCTGAGCGGGAGAAATACACCTTTATGATTGGACGTTCTAGTTTGACAGCTCGCTACTTAAGCAGCTGTCAGGCAGTTTCTTCGTTCGTGAGTTTCTGAGGTATTCGTTGTTCTACGTATTGTTGGTTTAAATAAAGAGTTTATTAAGCCTAGCCGTGAGTCCATGCCTTTGTTCTAGGATAGAACATTATCCATCCACTCCTTAAGTGAGGGGATGGTGGGTTCTTCTGTGGGTAGTTCAGGCATGGGGCTGAAATCCTGGCCTGTTGCTACTCTAAAAGGGGTAAAACCAGTGCTTGAATGTACAGCATTATTAAACGCAACTTCAGCAAAAGGCAAAAGTTCGGTCCAGTTATCCTGTTGAAAATTAATGAAACATCTTAAATATTGTTCTAGTACCGAGTTCAAAATTTCAGAATTGCCATTAGTACACGGATGGAAAGAGGTGCTCAACCCCTGGCCAGTACCAAGTAAGCCCAAAAACGCCCTCCAAAAGTTGGAGGTAAATTGAGCCCCTCTGTCGGATATGATCCTTTGTGGAGCACCATGAAGTCGATAAATGTGTATTAGGAATAATTTGGCTAAATTTTTAGCAGTTGGGATCTTTTGGCAGGGTATAAAATGTGCCTGTTTTGAAAATAGGTCTGTCACAACCCAAATAACAGTATTTCCCTCACTGTTTGGCAATTCCACGATGAAATCCATAGCAATCTCTCTCCAAGGCGCTGCAGGTTCAGCTACCTTCTGCAACAGACCTGGGGATTTCCCCTGGCGTCTTTTTGCTGCTGCACAAATGGGGCAGCTAGCTACATAGCTTTCTATGTCCTTTTTCAGTGATGGCCACCAAAATTGTCTTTTAATCAGGTGTAAAGTTTTCACAAACCCAAAATGTCCAGCTAATTTGGAGTCATGGCACCGTACCATTAAGCATAGTCTTTGGCTTGCAGGGACATACAACTTCCCCCCAACCCAAGCCAAGTCTTCTTTCATCAGACAGCTGGATTTGTTGTTCAAAAACCATTCATCAGTGGCCAATGCTTGTTTAAAATTTTGGGTGATGTCATTGTCTGTCACTGTTTCTTGTTTTTTCTGGGATCTGGTGACTACTTTAGCGGCTAGTTGACTGTTTTGTACTATAGGTTTGATTACGTCTGACCTTGCACGAATGTATTGCGGTTTTCTGGATAGCGCATCCGCCAGAAAGTTTTTCCCCCCCGGGAGGTATTTTAGAGTAAAATCAAACCGTTTAAAGTACTGAGCCCATCGTACTTGTTTTGGGGAGAGTTTCCTTGGGGTCTTTAGGGCTTCTAGATTTTTATGATCAGTCCAGACTTCAAAAGGGGTCTTACTGCCTTCTAGGAAGTGCCGCCAGGTTAACAATGCCCAACGAACTGCATATGCCTCTTTCTCCCAAATAGCCCACCTTTGCTCAGTCTCATTCAACTTTTTGGATCTGTAAGCGCAGGGTTGTAGTTGGTCTTGCTCATTCTTCTGAAGCAGGACCGCTCCTATTGCCACATCGCTGGCATCTGCTTGTATGACAAATGGTTTCTCCGTGTCCGGGTGTTTTAGAATTGGTTCTGCTGAGAACAGCCGTTTAAGTTTTTCAAATGCTGCCTGGCATTCCATAGTCCAGTTCAATGGTTGCTTTGGTTTAGGGTTGTCCTCCTCCTTTGTTTTTAAGAGCTTGGTGATGGGGAGAGCAATCTGAGCGAATGCAGGGATAAACTGGCGGTAAAAGTTAGCAAACCCCAGGAAGCTCTGTAACTGTTTACGTGTGCGTGGAGGGTCCCAATCAAGTACAGCCTGCACTTTTAGAGGATCCATCTCAACCCCCTGGTGTGAAATGCGGTATCCCAAATAGTCAATTTTCTCTTGATGGAATTCACATTTGGAAAGTTTGGCATAAAGTTTGGCAGCACGGAGTTTGTTTAAAACTGCCCTGACTAGTTTTACATGTTCTGCTTTGGTCTCGGTATAGATTAAAATGTCGTCCAAATAGACCAGAACCCCCTTATATAAATGCTGATGCAGCACTTCATTTATTAACTGCATAAACACTGCAGGGGCTCCTTGTAACCCAAAGGGGAGCACCTTGAATTGGTAGCAGCCGAGGGGGGTGTTAAATGCCGTTTTCCACTCATCCCCTTCCTTAATTCTGACACGGTAGTAAGCCTCCCTTAAGTCCAGCTTTGAAAAATTTTTCCCTTTAGCGAGGTGTGCTAACATATCTTTCATAAGGGGGAGAGGATACACGTTCTGCACACTGATAGTATTAATGTTCCGGTAGTCAACGCATAAGCGTTTTGAACCATCTTTTTTCTCTCTAAACAACACTGGGGCTGCAATTTTTGGTCAGGCTGGCTCGATGAAACCCCTTGCTAGGTTTTTCTCAATGAATGTTCTCAGCTCTTCCAACTCCCTCGGTGACATGCTGTACATCTTGGGTTTAGGGAGTTTCGCGCCGGGTAAGATTTCTATTGCACAGTCAGTGGCACGGTGGGGGGGGGAGCTCATCTGAGGCTTTTTCGCTAAAAACCTCAGCTAAATCCTTGTATTCTATGGGTATGCCCTCAGTTGGTGTGGCATGACCAGGCATGGCTGTTTCTCGATTCTCTGCCCCCTCAAGTCCTTTATGTGGATACTCAGCAAAAGTCACCTTCCTCTGAAATTTTATGATGCCTTGTTTCCAATTGATTTGTGGGTTCCATCTTTTTAGCCACGCAAGGCCCAGAACCAATGGCCATTCCATGCCAGGTGCCACTATAAAGGTAAGCCTTTCCTTGTGGCTTCCAATGCCTATATGTAGAGGCACGGTGGCCAGAGAAGCTGGCTCCCCTCCTGCTATTGACCCATCTAGTTGGCAGAAAGCAATGGGGGTTTTCAGCTTTCTTATGTTAATCCCTAACTTCCCTACTAAGGTTGGGCTGATCAAACAACGGGTGCACCCCGAATCCACTAGGGTGGGGATACTTATCTCCCTGTCCTGGTTTGGGATAAATAGTCTTAAGGGGAGGGTAAGCGGTTTAATTGGTTTGCTTACCAGTGGCTCATCATCTGGATCGCTTCCGAACGAGTGTGATTCCTCCTGTTCAGATGCCAGGGTTTCTTCCCCAAAGAGGGGAGAGGATGGGACTGCTATGGTCTCCCTGCTCCTCAGGGCAGTCTCCTTCCCACGCCGACCCGGTTTTCCAGGACCCTCCCCCGGTGGGTGGTTCCGGGCGGGTGTTTGCGAACGACACTCTGCAGCTCGGTGCCCTTCTTTTCCACACTTGAAACAGGCTGAAGATCTCGGGGAGAATGCGGTTTGTGGTTTGTGTGGCTCTTGCTTCCATTGGGGTGAGGATTTCTTCCATGCTCGCCCCGCTCGATACTGGTTTCTGGCCATATCGATCTCAGCTTCTTCGGCGGTGACATACCATTCATGTAGGTCATTCGGTGCCCCTCGGGCCACGCAGGCATTGTATAGATCATCACTCAGTCCATCCTTGAAACAGCTCACCAAAATATCTTCCGGCCAGTGCACACGACACGCGAGGTCCCGGAATTCTTCAGTATACTCTGCTACTGGCCGTCGCCCCTGCCTCACCACCTTAATGCGGTCACGTGCTTTGCGATCTGCCAGTGGGTCCTCGAACCGACGTCGCAGGGCCATCATGAAATGGTCGAAATTCCGCAGTTCTGGTGCGTTGGCATTATGTAGGGTCACCATCCATCTGGCTGCGGCACCCTCTAGGGCTAGGGTCACAACTCGCACTCGGGAGCCTTGGGTTTGGAAATCACGCCCATACTCTTGCATGTAGGTGAGCACATGTGCCACAAAGAATCCTAATTGTTGCGGATTCCCATCAAACTTCACCCCAAGAGGGGGAGTTTCTCTTTCCAGCTGAGGAGCCCGGGGTTGGTTGGGAATGGGCGCCCGTGTGCGTGCTGCCTGGGGGGGAGGGTTTGCTGGGTCTTCTCCCGTAGCTGCTGCACCATCTGCTCAATAGGCGGCCTCCAGGAGGGGGGGTGCCTCCCCTGGCATCATCCATGACTGCTGCCCTTTCAGTGCTCTTTGGTTGTTGTCCTGGCTCCCTTCGGATGTTAAGATTTTCCAAAGTCTCCATCACCAATTGGGTTATATGCCTCTTCAGATAGTCCTCCCTCAGGGGTGCTTCGGTCAGCCCCCACTGGTCAGTAAGGGCTTCTAGTTCCAGTTTCCACCCCGGTTTTCGGTTGCCACGGTTGAGGGTGACTCCTCTGGTTCTCTCATCCCAGCCAACTTTCTTCCCAATGCCAATTGACCAGCGGGGCTTTTCAGGATTCTCCAGGGTTACCTCATCCTCTCCGATGGGTCGCACGAGGCAGGCATCCGACTGGGTGGCGGTTGCTGTCTCTCCCCAGCAATCGGTTTCTCCCAGCTCTCTGCTTTGTTCAGACATGGTTTGCAAGGTCCCCTCAGTAGAGCAAAGTTTGCTTCTCTGGGTTGACCGTTTTGCAGATTGTGTTTTCTGTAAGGATCGCCTCTCCTTCCAACTTAAGAAAGTACGAACTCTTGAAACGTAGTTGTTCAAAAGGATTCTTTTATTAAGCAGAAGTGAAAACCATCCAGTTAAAGCACAATCTGAATGCCCTTAGGCAAAGCAGTAGGATTAAAGTGGTAGAGACCCCTCCCTTTAGGTCAGAATGCGGATTTCAGCCAATACACAAGTGTGAAGATGTTTTCTTTACTATTTCCTTTGAGAACCCGAACACACATGCATTCCCACCACTTCCCTTTAAAGTGAGACAACCCACATGGCTATCATATAAATTCCTGCAGGTAAAGGGAATCTCAGGCTTCCTTGGCGCCAGGATATAGGTTGTAAAATATCTGATGACACAGGCCATCCAAGTCCCCCCTTCCTTCACTTGAATGGCAGTATCACTTTTAGGGATCTGACAGATACAATCCCCAAAATGACAGAATGATCTCAGTTCGAATCCAAGGCAAACCATTCCATAACACAGTAGTCCAAGTCTATGCCCCAACCACTGGTGCTGAAGAGACTGAAGTTGATCGGTTCTATGAAGATCTACAACACCTTCTAGAATTAACACCAAAAAATGATGTCCTTATCATCATGTGGGATTGTAATGCTAAAGTAGGAAGTCAAAAGATAACCAGAATAATAGGCAAATTTGGTCTTGGAGTACAAAATGAGGCAGGGCATGGGCTGATAGAATTTTGTCAAGAGAATACAATGGTCATAGCAAACACTCTTTTCCAACAAGCCAAGAGACGTCTTTCTACACATGGACATCACCAGACGGTCAACACAGAAATCAGATTGACTATGTGCTCTGCAGCCAAAGATAGAGAAGCTCTATACAGTCAGTAAAAACCAGACCAGGAGCTGACTGTGGCTCAGATCATGAGCTTCTCATTGCAAAATTTAGGCTTAAATTGAAGAAAGCAGGGAAAAGCACTAGACCACTCAGGTATGAACTAAATGATGAATATACAGTAGAGGTGACAAATAGATTTAAGGAATTAGATCTGATAGACAGAGTGCCTGAAGAACTATGGACAGAGGTTTGCAACATTGTACAAGAGGCAGCAACTACAACCATCCCAAAGCAAAAGAAATGCAAGAAAGGAAAATGGCTGTCTGATGAAGCCTTACAAATAGCTGAGGAAAGAAGGGAAGCGAAAGGCAAGGGAGAAAGAGAAAGATACACCCAATTGAATGCAGAATTCCAGAGAATAGCTAGAAGAGATAAGAATGCCTTCTTAAATGATCAGTGCAAAGAAATAGAACAAAACAATAGAATAGGGAGGACCAGAGATCTCTTCAAGAAATTTGGAGATATGAAGGGAACGTTTCATGCAAAGATGGACATGATAAAGGACCAAAATGGCAGGGACGTAACAGAGGCAGAAGAGATTAAGAAGAGGTGGCAAAATTACACAGAGGAACTGTGTACGTCACTGATAACCATGATGGGTGGCCACTGACCTCAAGCCAGATATCCTGGAATGCGAAGTCAAATGGGCCTTAGGAGATCTGAGGAACAACAAAGCTAGTGGAGGAGACAGTATTCCAGCTGAGCTATTCAGAATCTTAAAAGACGATGCACTGAAAGTGCTACACTCAATATCCCAGCAAATTTGGAAAACTCAACAGTGGCCACAGGATTGGAAAAGGTCAGTTTACATTCCAATTCCAAAGAAAGGCAATGCTAAAGAATGCTCAAACTACCGCACCATTGCACTCATTTCACATGCTAGCAAAGTTATGCTCAAAATCCTACAAGCTAGGTTCCAGCAGTATGTGAACTGAGAACTACCAGAAGTACAGGCAAGATTTCGAAGAGGCAGAGGAACTAGAGATCAAATTGCCAACATACGCTGGATCATGGAGAAAGCTAGGGAGTTCCAGAAAAACATCTACTTCTGCTTCATTGACTATGCTAAAGCCTTTGATTGTGTGGGCCACAACAAACTGTGGCAAGTTCTTGAAGAGATGGGAGTACCAGACCATCTTATTTGTCTCTTGGGAAACCTATATGCAGGTCAAGAAGCAACAGTGAGAACTGGACACGGAACCACTGATTGGTTCAAAATTGGGAAAGGAGTTTGATTGCCTTGGACTGCAAGGCGATCAAACCAGCCAGTCCTAGAGCAGATCAACCCTGACTGCTCTTTAGAAGGCCAGATCCTGAAGATGAAACTGAAATACTTTGGCCACTTAATGAGAAGGAAGGACTCACTGGAGAAGAACCTAATGCTGGGAATGATTGAGGGCAAAAGAAGAAAGGGACAGCAGAGAATGAGTGGCTGGATGGAGTCACTGAAGCAGTCGGCGTGAGCTTAAATGGTCTCCGGGGGATGTTAGAGGACAGGAAGGCCTGAAGGAAAGTTGTCCATTGGGTCCCGATGGCTTAGGCACAACTTTGCCCTAACAACAAGGGTTAATATATAAATTCTCAAATGCATTCCTCATTCACTGTCACGAAGGAACGTATTTATAACACATGAAACATCCCCCAAATTTAAGAATTAATTATTAAAAAAATCACTTTCTAATTTCCATCCAAACCTCATCTTATTTCACATGAATGTGTACATGTTTCTTAGGAGGTCATTCTTCAGTATAGTATGTATAATCTCAAAACAGCTTGCATTGCTAGTACAGAATTAAAAAATAATGTATGTACCACAAAATTGAAAAAACATTCACTAAAACTAGAACCTAGGGCTCCTTGCACAGTAAAAATTGCAATCCTGGGGAAAAGTCCTAAAGAGTCTCCATGGGAATTAGGTTCCAAGATTGGGCAGCACAACTGAAAAGCTTCCTTGCCAGCATCCTACCTCATTTCTTTTTGCAAGGTTCTTAGTAACAGTGTCAGAGCAATGCAAGTGGGGCCCTACAAAGATCTATCTATAGTGGAAGCAAATGAATGAACTTACTGTAAGTATAGTAATATATGTGATTAAACATGTGGATTAACATGTGTATTTTTCTCCCACTGCAAACAACAGCTGCTAGAATGATCGCAATAAGCCAAATTGGATGTTTTGGTAATGCCCCACATTCCTATCTAGTTTCATAGGAAAGTTACAGTAGTTCTTGAAGTGGAAGAGAAGGATTCTGTTGTGATTATGACATGAAAGAAAGAATCCATCCCCATATGCTGGGAAAGATGATGATTATGCCTTCACAGTAATCCTTCCTTTAGATTCTGAATGTGTGCAAGCTCCCTACCTATTACTATTTAGAATAGAGTTTGTTACTATGTCTATTCAAAGCATTAGTGAAGACTTATAAATGGCTTATCCAAGACCACTTAGAGATAGTTTGGCTGCATGTACATTTTGATGTAAAGTTCATTCTCTGTGTGCTGAAAGTAATGGAAGCAAGTATCTTAAGGACAACAGAAAAAATATTTCACAATAGCTGAATCTAAACCATTTAATAGCTGGCCTTGGGAGAACAGGCTAGCCCCTTCTCTGGTGGATTTTCAGCAAGATTTTTAGAAAGTCTTTATGTTACAGACAGAAAACTTTATTTCAAGACTGTGCTTGCTGTTATTTGATATTATTTTATTTTATTATTTTATGTTCTAATTTTGATCTCATTTTAACTTTCAACCATCCAAACTAACATCTATGCATTAAAATGGGATAAGACATTTTTAAATAAATAAATCAACAAAATACATATAATATCATGTAGTATCATCATTCAAGCTTATAGTATCTAAATCTGATACCAAATGGAATCGAATATCCAGCAGCCAAAAATCTAGGACAAGAGAAATATAAATGTATGATCTATAGCAGGGATGTCGAACTCATGACGACACGTCATCATGTGATGTATCACAACTTTTTTCCCCTTCGATAAAACAGGGGTGAGAGTGGCCAGCATGTGACGCATCTGGCCCACAGGCTGCGAGTTTGACACCCCTGATCTATAGGGATAAAAGCAGTAATGCACTGTCTAGGATTCTGAGATTGTTCTAAGAATGTAATACTGACTTGGAAGAAAAAAAAACTCTTAACCAACAGTTTTAAGGATGATTTAAGCAAAAACAGGAATCTGATTTACAAAGAATATTTTAATCTGGTTAAAGAAAGAAGAAACAAAATGGCAAACTAAGAAATGAAAAGTTTTAAATCCTTTGAGTCTAATATATAAATAATAGTTTCCTCATTGTGTTAGCACTAAGCAATCATTGAATCATCAAAAAAACCATGGTAGGTCAAAATAGGCTATTAAGCAGTAGTAGCTCATTATAGCAGCATATACTGTGCTTATATAAACTGTTAAGCTTAATAACATGAATCCCTAATTTAAGGACCTCAACTAACAGGAAACAGGCTAGATCAGCGGTGTCAAACTTGCATTGTCATGTGATGTATTGGGACTTTCCCCCCTTTGCTAAACTGGGCAGGGGTGGGGCAGCACGTGATGCATCTGGCCTGCGGGCCGTGGGTTGACACCCTTGGGCTAGATGTAGCAGGCTCTTTTCAGTCCATGCACTCATCAATAAATGTGTTTTTTCTTCCACACTAATTAGTAATTTTTCATACCGGTAGTCTTCAACTTATGCCCACAATTGGGTGCAATTTTAGTCGTAAAACATTATGGTCATAAGATGCAATTTTACCACTGTTTTATAAAGTTGTTAAATAAATCATAGGATTGCAAGTCCAAATCCAGCTTTTCCAATGGGCATTTTTGCCAGAAAGTGGTAAAAATGTTGGAAATGCAACCACCCAAAATGTAATGTGATCTCAGTGGTGGTGTGGCAGTCATAACTTTAAGGATAAGTCATAAGTAACTTTTTTCAAGTCCATTGTATCTTTGAACGGTCATTAAGTAATAAGATTACTTAATGACCTTAATTTTAGGGTTAATAAACCCTAAAATATATAGGTTTTGTGTTTAAATAATTACAAATGCATTTGTATGTGCATTTTTATTTACAAAATATTTTAACTCAAGCACACTTATGCTAAAATATTTAATAAATTTGTTACATGTTTTGAATACAGCGTTGCAGTGCAAAATCTAAAGAAATGAAAAATATAATTTAATCTGGCAATTATTTCAGGAGTTATGGATCAGATGAGTTTGTATTAAAAACTATAAAGATTAAAGTTCTCAAATAGATCTAGAAAACAATGCTAAAGAAGACAGATTAATTTTGTTTGATTTTGTTTCATTATTTGTTTAAGAATTGAGTAGTCCCTTTTAGACATCATTCTATTTGGATAGATATATGAAGACTGTTTATAATGGGGATATTAGCCAATTTCATATGTGCTAAATTTAATGCGCACAACTAAAGCTGAAGTTCTATTCACAAAAAAGTTTTCATTGTTTCTTCTTGGGTTTTTAATCATCTGTTATCTTTCCAGAGTTGCCAGTGTGAAATGGGTGGCCATATAAATCAATCAATTAATTAAACACTGACAACCTGACTTTTCACAGATAGTTTAGGCTGCAACAATAAAATTCTTAACTCTTGCTAGAAAAGTTTATGGTTAGGAATTATGCAATGGTAGTCCAAACACTTGGAGAATACCAAGGTATTTACTTTACTTATATATCTAAAACCCCTATACAATTTCTGGGATTGTGATTCTGCCTTAAAGCATGTAAACTTTACAGGATACAGAAATATCTGTGCTTTCAGATTTTTAATTAGGCTTATATATATATATTTAAAACAATGATCCTTAGAAGACCTGAGAATTCAATATACTCTGCCTTCCAGATTTTAATGGTATACCGTGTTTCCCCCCAAATAAGACCCACCCCAAAAAGAAGCCCTATGTTTTTTGAACACATTCACTCAAATTAAGCCCTACCCCAAATTTAGCCCTAATTAAGATCCTGCCCACCCCGGAGTGCAGGGGCTGGGGCGAGGTAAAAATTAAGCTAGGGTGGGGGTGGGGGTGGAGCTTCCCTACTTACCAGGCCTCGCACACCCCAACACCTGCCTCGCCTTCTTCTGCAGCCGCTTCTTCTGCGGCCCACTTCTTCTGTGGCTGCTTGTAGCCGCTCACATGCGTCACCCCCAGCCTCGGTTTCGCTGTCAGAGCCTTCCGGAAAGCCTTCTGCAGCTGAGAAACGGGCTCCAGATTGACGTGTGTGGCACCCCCAGCCTCCATTTTGCCATCAGAGGCCTTCTGGAAAGCCCTCTGCAACCAAGAGATGAGGTTCAGATTGATGCGCACATTGCCACTGGCCTCCATTTTGCCGTTAGTCTCTTCCGGAAAGCCCTCTGCAGCCAACAACAGCGCTCCGGATCAATCCAGAGCTCTTTTATCGGCTACAGATGCCTTAGTCCTTTGTAGTCAATAAAAGAGCTCCAGATTGATCCTTTTACTGTCTGAGCCTTCCGGAAAGCCCTCTGTTATCACCTGCAGAGGGCTTTTCAGAAGGCTCTGACGGCAAAATGGAGGCCAGGAGCGCTACATGCATCAATCCGGAGCCTGTTTTTTGATTGCAGAAGGCTTTCTGGAAGATCTCTGATGGCGAAATGGAAGCCGGGGAGTGCCACGTGCATCAATCTGAAGCCCGTTTCTCAGCTGCAGAGGGCTTTCAAGGAAGGCTCTGACAGCGGAATGGAGGCTGGGGGTGACGCGTGCGAGGAGCGGCAAACAGCTACAGAAGTGGGCCGGCAATGGGTTCCTGCTGGGCTGGGCAGGGCTGTCGGTGCCATGGTAAGTGAATAATTAGACCCACCTGAAAAGAAGCCCTAGCTGTTTTTTCAGGGGGTCAAAAGAAAATAAGATCGAGTCTTCTTTTCGGGAAAACATAGTAGTTCTTAACTTTTTAACACCAGATTGAAAGAGTAAGGATAAAAGGGAGAGGGGGAAAAAAACCCACATTTACATCTCTGCTAGGTTAAGCTGCCTTTGAGCCAGATGTGAATAATGGTGCTATAGCTCAAGATCCCTTTAGACTGATTGTTAGCACTATTGGTGTTTCTACAAGTAGCTGTGCAGATCTAAAGAAAATGCCCAGCGAGTAACAATGTCCCTTCAATTCCCCCCTCAAGTGAATCAAATCTTTCTGGAATGCTGGGGGGAGGGGTCAGTGTCAAATATTCCCTCTCCTTTGGATAATGACAGCACTGCAAGTATATAACTCAATATTCCTATCATTCAGATGAAAATGTTCTTTTTAATAATCAGTAATAAATATTCTCTTACTCTTTAAGTTCACTGTAGATTGGAAGGACTGATGGATGGCACACAAATGCAAATGCAATGGTAGGCAAAGCATACACACTCTGTTAAAAAAAAAGTAAGAATCAGGATACTTTTCCTAAAGTTGTTATAAAGTCTTTATTGTTTCAAATATCAGAATTGGAATTTTCTATACTTTTGCATCTGTAGTAAAATGAATGTTTGAAAGATAAATTTCAGTGAATGGAATATGTCAATGGAACACAGAGTTCTTAAGGACCGTTTAATTTTACTCTCCATTACCAGGACAACATATACACCCTGAGATTTCTTATTAAATTTTTTAAAAAGCACATTCTACAATTGAACTTGTATGTTCCTATAACACCTATAGCTCTATAGTAGAAAGAAATGGCAAATACTGTAGAAAAAAACATACCTTAGAATTAAATGTAACATACTTTGGTCTGCATGCCTCCGTGCCAAAACTAAAATTGGAAAAGGTAGCATCTGTTGCATTTCTGTCCAGAAAAGGACAAGAAAGCTGAAATTTCTTGTATATGACCTACAATAAAGGATCAAAGTTGAAAGATTCAGCAAATAGTTTTAAATTTAAATTTAAAAGTTAAATCACTTAGACCAAATTGAAACATTAAGTCCAACTTACCACTATGAGAAAAAATATCATGCATGTCAGAGAAAATCCACTAGTATAGCCAAGATAGCCTGATGGAAATTCAAAGGACAACATATTCAGTAATTTATTATTACTTTCATTTGTGTACTTAATGGCTCATTATTCCATCCCTTATATGCATTTGACATTGTTCACCTTTTTAAATTATCATATAAATATAATGAAACTTATAGGCAGTGATTCTTAATTGTGCTAGTAATATTCAATATTTTTACTTATCTATCTATCTATCTATCTATCTATCTATCTATCTATCTATCTATCTATCTATCTTCTAAATAGCCCATCTCCCTCAGAGATTTACAGATTTATTGATTAAAAATTCTCTATAAATAGAAATATATTTTTATATAATATAGTTTTATAGGTTTAGCACCAGGGGTGAAATGCTCCCGGATCGGACCGGATCAGCTGATCCAGTAGCAATGATGGCCGGTAGTTCGGAGAACCGGTAGCAATGGCAGCTGGAGGCTCCTCCCACCCGCCCAGAAGTTATTACTTCCTGGTTTTTTGAGCCTCTGCGCATGCGCTCGGGCCAAGAGAGGTGGTGGTGGAGGCACTGCATGTGCAGCCCCAGGACATCTGCCCTCTCTCCAGGAGCGCCACTGCCGTCCCAAAGCTTGCCTTAGCCTCTGCAGCCCACTGGCCCCTCTTGCCCTTCTCTTTCTGGGTGCAGCATTTCTGCTTGTTGGGCCACTTCCCCACAGTGCTTCTGCTAGTGCCACCACGCAAGCCTCCCATGAAGAAAAAGAGGGGAAAAGCAAAGTGGCTGGCTGCAGAGCTGCCAGCTTCAGGAAGTGGCCCAACAGGCAGAAGCGACATGCCCAGAAAGAGACTCCAGCCTTGCCCCATCCACTGACTACCTGCTCGCCCTTCGCTTTGGGTCGGGGGCTGGGGCCTAGAGACGCGCCATTCACCGAAACCCCGGAGCTGCCGCTTGCCTCAACCGGGTTGGGGAATGCACCATTTCCTGACTCTAGCCTTGCCGTGGAGCCGCCGCCCACTCGCCCTTCGCCACGCGGCGTGTCCTACTCCTTGCCTTTCTCTTGTGGCTGGCTGCCAGGGAAGGCAAGGGCCCGAAAGTTACCGGAGCTGCTCTCCTTCTTGAATGTGCCACCATCATCACTGCCCTGGTCCATGCGCCGGCTGCGCAAGCGCACACCATTTATTTCATTCATTCATCAGTGGCAGGTTGGGTGTGCGCTTGCGCAGCTGGCGCATGGACCAGGGCGGCTTTATTTGAAGCGAGCTATGTTATTTACTGTTCTCAGGGTATGCAGAATTTTTTGGGGACATAAGCAATCTCAGAAATAGAAAAATGAAACAAAGACATTATTTAGTGTCTTAAACAACCAAATATATTCAACCTGTACCCAACTGTACTTTCAAGTCTCCATTCCTAGGAGGAATGGATGGAAAGACATGTTTAAGATTAAGTTTCAACAATCTTTTAGTCTAAAAAAGGTAATTTATTCTTACCCAAATTTTTCAGAAGGCATAGAGGAAGAATTATTAAAAAGGTCACAGCTACGACCAGAACTCGCCCATCCACATACCAGGCTCTATAAAACATTTTTGAAAACAAAAGATAACTTTTACTGAACTCCTATTTGTTTAAAGTAGTTAAATTTAAAATCAGGGATGGAAATCTGCAAAATTTGGCTTAATTTTAATCCTTATCCCAATCCCCATGTGTAAAATTTCAATTTATATCTATGATAAAAGCTATCTAGTTTCTCTACTTCAGCTTACTATTTGAGATAGGGAGAAAAGGGATCCTGAAAGAGAAGACTGGAAGTGCTAGAGACAGAAAGTATCCCAACCCACTCTGGTCTCTAGACTCACCCACTGCTTGCTTCAGCCAGATCATTCCAAATAATTACCTGCAATGAAACTTGTAGTTTCTCTGTATATGATGCTCATAAAGTGCCTCAATTACATCTGAATGTTCTGGCCAAGAACCCAATGATTACCATAATTGTCCATGTCAGTAAGGCACATCATTGCATTTAACTGCAAAATCTTTGGTTTTTTGTTCACAGTGGGCATTTTTTCCATACTTTCTTCTGGATTGGCCTTCTGGATATCTTGGAACTATTATTTTCCAGGAGTTACAAATATGCTGGAAATTCTTAAGAGGTTATAGTTTCAAACAATTCCAGAGATTCCATATTGGGAAAGACGGAAATGATAACTTTTTCACTTCTTTTAAATCATTCCATTAAAAAGTAGGAAAGTAGCACCATATACATGTCCCTTAGCAAACATTTAAAGTTACACAGTAAGCACCCCCTAGAGTTTATGAACAAGTCCTGAAATTACGAATGTTGCAGCACTGCAGTAGTTGTTCGCCCTTGCGAAGGGCCGCAGAGTTTCTGCAACATTCACCCTGCCTATTCTCCCCCCCCACCCCCGGATCTTCAGAGGCACTCAACCTGTGAAGAGTCAACTACCTTGCGAAGAGCTCCCCTCTGTCATAGTTTCTTTGCCTGTTTCGTTGCTTCAGGCTTTCGGTACATTTACAAAGAACAGAGGACTAATATACGCGATCTCACGTGAGATCATTAACACGAAATCTCATGCTACTGATCTCGCATTTTAGGCCTCTATTCTCTGCAAATTGAGGCCTTCACTTTTGCAAACTGAGGGAAGGCTTCAGTCCTTCAGGCATTCCTTCCATTTGCCGTTTCCTTGCTGAAGCCTGCAGGGAGATTCTGTCCCTATAGGCTTCAGCAGCTCTTTGCAAAAAGCCTGTATTGGCAGCAGCGGAGCTTTGGAGAGGTAGGTGCATCCCTCTGAAGCTCTGTTCCTACCAACAAAGGCTTTTTGCAAAGGGCTACCAAAGCCTACAGCCTACAGCAATGATGGCTAACCTTTTTGCCATCGCATGCCAGGAGGGAGGGGGCAGGGGGGTCACGCACGCACGTGCCCACGTGCATGCGCACGCAACCCCACCCACCCCCAATCCTGGCACATGATGGCCTGGTAGGCCCATTTTTCTTTCTTACCTGGTTCCAGATCCTCTCTATGCATCTGGGAAGGGCGAAAACAGCCTTTCCCACTTCCTTGGAAGCCCTACGTAGGCTGAAAGGGCTCATTTCCCAACTCTCAGTGGGACAGGAAGTGACATTTTTTGCTATCCCCAGCCTCCAGAACCTCTCTAGGAGTCTCTAGGAGCCTCTCTAGGAGTCTCTGGAGGCTGGGGACAAGAAAAAAGTCACTTCCTGTCTCACCGGGAGTCAGGAAATGGGCCCTTTCAGCCTCCGTAGGGCCTCCAAGGGAATGGGAAGGGCTGTTTTCGTCCTTCCCAGATGCATAGAGAGGATCTGGAGCCAGGTAAGAAAGAAAAACGGGCCTTCCCCACCCACCCCCAGGCCCTCCAGAGGCAGGAAACAGCCTGTTTCCCTACTTCTGGTGGGCCCAGAAGGCCTGAAAATCAGCTGGCCGGCACGTGCATGCGCCCCAGAGCTGAGCTGGCATGCCCACTAATATGGCTCCGCGTGCCACCTGCGGCACGCGTGCCATAGGTTCGCCATCACAGGCCTACAGCAATCCTCAAGCAGTTTGGCAGCAAGAAAGGAGGGGAAGGGCACGCGTGGGCCTCCAACCTTGTTTTTGTTGCTGAAAGCTTCATCAAGTGGTTTGGCGGCGAGAAAAGAGGCCCGTAGGGGAAAGCACAGCCCTCTGCGCCTCGTTTTTCATTGCCAAAGGCTTCATCAAGCGCTTTGCCAATGAGAAAGGAGGGAGCAGACAAAGAAAGAGAGAAGCTGGAGAGGAGACAGATCTTCATAAGATAAGTGACCCAGTGCAGCAGGATGTGGGGGAGAAATTGTGGGGACACCAGAGGAGGGAGAATGAGATATCTCAGTGGGTCGGGGGAGGCCTTGGGTGGTCTGAAGCAGGTGGCCTATTCCATCACTAGGCCCCCCCCCATGGCCTTCCCCACCCCGAGACACCTCGTGTGCATTTAACAAACCACGCATTCGATTACTGAATGCGTGGTCGAAAGCAGGAAGTGACCATGTTCAAGTTACGCAATTCACTCCTACGAATCCTCGAGTTACGAATGGAATGGGCAGGCTCCATTACATTTGTAACTTGAGGACTGCCTGCATTTCCTCCTGGCATCGACCACTTTATATAAATCCTTCATCCAACCATCAAAATAATCAAATTAGAAAAAAACATAAATTCAACTTACACAAATGTGTCACCTTCTCCCATAAGGAACTTTATGGCAGCAGGCAGCTCATTTTTAACTATAAAGAGGTAGCTCAACATAGCTGGAGGAAAGCATGGTAAAAAGAAAACAAGAAATTGTGCTTTAAGCATACAGTAATGTACATTTCTGTATAATTTTCAAAGCAAGTCAAAAGAGAATATTTGGCAAAATTCCTAACATGGGTAGTAAGTGAAATGGGGTATGTGCTTTTTTTCTTACATGTGTAGAACTTGCACCAATAATAAAATAAACGAATAGAATAGAATAGAATAGAATAGAATAGAATAGAATAGAATAGAATTTTTTATTGGCCAAGTGTGATTGGACACACAAGGAATTTGTCTTGGTGCATATGCTCTCAGTGTACATAAAAGAAAAGATACATTTGACTTCTGGTTGGCTCCGCGAGCTTTGCTGTCACGCCTCTGTGGGTGTCCAATCCCCGGCACCGTAAAAGCTGCCAGAACAGCCGAAAAACAGCTGTCTGGCAGCTTGGAAACCTCTCCCCGGGCAAAGGGGAGAGAGGAGAGCCGACAGGTGGAGGTAGAGCCCCCCAAGTGCCCTAGGAGAAATCCTGGGGTGCGAAGGGTGAGAGCTCCCTAGAAGCCTGTCAATCTGCTCTGGACCTGGGACGACTCCGCTGATTACGGAGCTAGAAGCCGCGACCAATTTCTGCTGAATACAAATGAGGGATTTATATCTTGAATTGCTGCAGGCAGAACAAGCCAGGAAGTCAGACTGCAAGTATTTACACTTAACTCCAGTTTTTATAGCCTCCTTCGGAAGTAACAATTAAGCAATTAAGCAATTTGCAACAAAATGGCGATTGAGGCTTGAAGAGGCGTGGATAGTGAAAGTTACAGGGAAGTTTAGTTTCGCTGGCAGCCTCTTGCCTGATAAGAACTTTTGTACTGAGAGAAGGAGGACTTTAATACATTAATTTATGATTGGGGAAATCCTTTGACTTTGAGGAATTTTTCTTTTTGGCTTCTGACTAAAATATAAAGACTAATTTAAACTGAAATGGCCTCAAAATCTGTAAAGACTGTTCCTATTAAAGGAACTGGGAGCGCTGGAAGCTCCCCAGCTCACACTTCTAGATTGCAAGCCTCTGCCCCCCCAACAGGCCCACAGACTCTAACGTTTGAGATGATACAAGCAGCCCTACAAGCCACACAAGATAAAATTGCTATTGTGATTAATGTAAAAATTAATGAAACCAATGAAAAAATTAATGAAACCAATGAAAAAATACAGGCTGTTTCAGATGAAATCTCAATTCGGAATCAGGAAATTAGGGAAGATATATTACTGGCATTCAAATGTTTGGCAGGTGATATTGAAATGATGGATGATAAAGTTCAAGAAATTAAGCAATCCATGGAAATTTTGGACAATAAATTAGGAGAAACTCAGAACAGAATTGAAAGGGCTGAAGCTGATGTAACGATGATACAATACAGAGATATGGAATTTGCTTTAAGATTTAGAGGGGTGAAGGAGAATAAACAAGAGAATTTGAAAGAAATGATGTCAGAGGCATTAGCACAGCTGCTGGGGGAGACAAAAAATGAGCTGGGCTGGCAGATTGACAAGGCATATCGTGTTAACTCTTGGGTGGCCAGACAGAAACATTTACCAAGAGACATTGTAATATATTTTACCACAAGGAGACTACATAATGAAATTTTACAGGCTACTTTTAAAAACAAGCTTCAGGTTGAAGGCCAGGAGGTGATGACAATGAAAGAAATCCCCCCCAAGATCTTGAGAGCCAGAAGGGAGTATGCTTTTCTGGTGGATGAATTGAAAAAAACGCCAATTACAGTATAGATGGGAGGTGCCAGCCGGCCTAGTGGTGACTTATTCAGGAGAGAGATATTGGCTTAACACAATATGGAAAGCAAGAGATTTTTATACCAACATATTAAAGGCTGGGACACCCAAATCACCAGAAGGAAAAAGAAAGAAGGAAGTAATGGAAGGAGAGAGAGAAGAGCTACTGACAGTAGTTCAGGGGGGAGCTTCGACTGGTCAAGAAGAACCGTTACAAATCCAGATGGCTGTTCAAGATTTGGACTTAATTGACATATTAGAACAACCAAAGGATCAAAGACAAACCGGAGCAGCAACAGCTAAGCGCAAGGAAGAATTAAGACAGCAACAACTTCAGATGGCAACCCAAGAAACTACCAAAACAGAAGCTGTGGGGGGAACAAGACCTAAAGGTCAACTGAGGCAAGACCATCAGAAATTGCTCCAGATGCTTCAGAGGCCCAGAGATGGGAACTAGATTTTTGACCTGGAATGTCAATGGTTTGAATTCTCCACAGAAGAGAAGGAAAATATTTCACTATCTTAAACAATTTAAGAATGAAGTAATTTGTTTACAAGAGACTCATATCAGGATACAAGATCAAAAATATCTGATAAATTCAAGATTAGGTACACATTATGTAGCAGCAGCACCAGAGAAGAAAAACGGTATAGTTATATATTTGAAAAGAGACTTAATTGCTAAATTAGTTGAAGCGGATGATCAAGGAAGATTTTTAGCGATTGAACTTTTAATAAAAGGAGAAAAAATACTTGTAATTGGAGTTTATGCCCCGAACCAACAACAAGAAAAATTTTATAATTTACTACATTCAAAGTTGACACAATGGGGATATAAAACTTGCATCCTATTGGGGGACTGGAATGGTGTTTTGGACGTAAAGAAAGACAAGAAGGGACCCAAACAAAATGTTTTAACAAGAGCAAAACTGCCCAAACCATTTTGGGAGATGATGGACGACTGGGAGTTGAGGGATATTTGGCGTGAAAGAAACCCAGAAGAAAAAGATTTTACCTTTTTTTCGGATAGACACCAATCTTTTTCAAGGATCGATTTTATATTAATTACCAATGATCTCTTATCTAGGGTGAAGAATACGAAGATTTGCTCAAAAACATTGACAGACCATAGTCCAGTTTGGCTGGAATTGGAGTATGAAAAAGGGCCTAGGAGGTCCTGGAGGTTAAATGATAACTTGTTTAGGTATGAAGAAAATGTAAGAGTATAAAAAATTTATGAAAGAATTTTTTGCTATGAACATGCAAAAGGGTACATCTATGGAAATGGTATGGGATGCAAGTAAAGCATATATGCGAGGAATTTTGATATATTTGAACAATAAATATAAAAAGAAACAGGGGGAAAAAAGAAAAGAATTAGAAGATGAGATTAGTAAACAGGAATGGGCTTTAATAGCCAACCCAACAGATAAGAAAATTAAAGAGGCAATTAATTTATTGAAGGGTCAATTTAATATGTTAATAGCAGATCAAGTGGCAACTAATTTACAATATGCAAAACATAATACTTTTTGTAACGCTAATAAACCAGGCAGGTGGTTAGCATATTTGTTAAGGAAAAAGCAGAAATCAAGGACAATAGAGAAAATAAAATATAAGGGTAAAGAGGTTTATGAGCAAGAATTGATTAAAAAATCTTTTTAAGAGTTTTATTCAAGGCTGTATACTGGTGATAAAATTAAAGATATAGATATAGATAGATATCTGCAGAAAGAGAACATTTATCCAATTTCAAAAGAGCAGAGGGATAGTTTAAATCAATTGATAACCTCCGAGGAAATTTTGTTTGCAATTAAGCAGTTGAAAGTGGGTAAAGCTCCTGGAACGGATGGTTTGACAGCCATTTATTATAAAAGCTTACAGGAAGAAATGGTGGAACCATTGAAGGAATTATTTAATAATATACAACAGGGAGGAGGGGTACCTCCAACTTGGAAGACAGCATTTATTTCATTGATTCCAAAAGATGGGCAAGACAATACAGATCCTAAAAACTATAGGCCGATTTCACTTTTAAATACAGACTATAAGATTTTTGCTAAAATTTTAGCAAATAGATTAATGACAGTTATGCAGCAAATGATTCATCATGATCAAACTGGTTTTATAAATGGTAGACAAATGAAAAGCAATGTAAGACAAATTGTTAACTTATTAGAGTATTTGGGAAGGAACAACCAGGTCCCTGCAGTGCTAGTTTTTTTGGATGCTGAAAAAGCCTTTGATAGATTGAATTGGCAATTTTTATTAAAATTAATAGAAAGGATGCAACTTGGAGAACATTTTGTACAATCTATTAAGGCAATATATCAAAAACAAACAGCGCAAATAATAATTAATGGTGGTTTAACAGATATTTTTAATATAGAAAAAGGAACAAGGCAAAGTTTTCCCTTGTCTCCGTTATTGTTTATTTTGACGCTGGAAATTTTATTAAGTAAAATACGTGGGACGGATACAATAAAGGGAATTAAAATTAGACAGCATGAGTACAAGCTACGAGCATTTGCGGATGACCTGGTTGTTACCTTAGCCCAGATATAATCTGCTCATATGGATATGTATCCGGTTTTAAAATAAATACAGCTAAAACAAAGATAATAGCTAAAAATATGGTTAGAAGCCAGAAAGAAGAGATAGAAAGGTTAACAGGATTTGAAATAGTTAAGAAGGTTAAATATTTAGGGGTTTATATTTTGACTGCAAATATGAAATTGTATCAGTATAACTATGAACCGTTATGGCAAAAAATACAGAAAGAGATGGAAAATTGGAAAAAATTACAACTGTCTTTGCTGGGAAGGATAGTCGCTGTAAAAATGCATATTTTACCAAAAATTTTATTTGTTTTTCAAATGATACCTATACTTAAGAAAGATGAAAATTGAAGGAATGGCAGAAGGGCATAAACAAGTTTGTGTGGGCAGGGAAGAAACCGCTAGTTAATCATAAGATAATGCAAGACACTCGAGAAAGAGGTGGTCTTAAAATGCCTAATTTAAGATTGTATTATGAAGCCACGGCGCTCTCAGCAATTACAGACTGGATAAATTTAACGGAGGAAAAGATATTGAATATTGAAGGATATGGTCTGGTCTACGGCTGGCATGCTTATTTATTGTATGATAAGAAAGTAGATAAGACTTTTAAAAGTCATATATTAAGAAATGTTCTATTGCGTGTCTGGAAAAAGTATAAATACAAATTAAATGATAAGTTACCAATATGGACAATACCCAGACACGCGATAGAGAACATAAATTTGGAGCAAAAGCAAGATAAGATTACATATAAGGAACTCCTTTATAAGGAAGGAGTCAGATTACAATTAAAATTTATGGAGCAATTAAGAGAAGAAGGAATTATTAGGACTTGGTTTCAGTATGGACAGCTGCAGGCCAGATGGAGAGAAGATCAAAAAACTGGTATTTTGCAACAGGATGAGAATTTGATAAAGCAAACAAGAGATAAAGGTCAAATGCATATAAAAAGGTTGTATAATGTATTAGTGGAAATAGATTCAGAAACAGAGCTAGTTAAGGATTGTAAGATAAAATGGGCACAGAATATAGGTGAACCAATAATGATGGAAACATGGGAAAAGATATGGGTTAGAAATGTAAGATTTACACAAGCTCAAAATTTAAGAGAGAACTTTTATAAAATGTTTTATAGATGGCATTTAGATCCCCAAAAACTAGCCTATATGTATCCAAATTTACAACCTAAGTGCTGGCGATGTGAGTGTGAAGATGCTACATATTTTCATATATGGTGGACATGTAAAAAAATTAAGGCTTTTTGGATAAAAATATGGTGGATTATTCAAAATATTTTAAGGAAAAAAATTAAATTTACACCACAGTTCTTTTTGCTGGGAATAGTTACGGATTGTATTGTAATAGAGACGAAATTGGTTTTGAATTTAATAACAGCTGCCAGGTTACTGGTGGCACACTACTGGAAGAAGGAAGATCCACCCACCATTGAGGAATGGACACTAAAAGTTGTGCATTTGGCTGAGATGGCAAAAATTTCATCATATCTTAAAGACCATTCAAATGAAAGATACATATCGGAATGGAGAAGATGGATTGACTATATACAAAAGAAGTATCCAAATAAGAAGATTCATATAGCTTATGAATGAAATATTTTTAAGTAGTTTATGTTTATAGTTTTTTGAGTTATAAGGAGTTAAAGATCTAGGGAAAATATGAATGCAATAATTTGTTAGCATATTTTAGTTTTACGTTTGTGAATGTCTATACCCTGTGCTTGTTCTGGGAAGTCTAGGGAGGGGAGGGGGGGAGGGGGGAAGGGGGGGGAGAAAATGTTTGTATTTCTTATAAAACTTTTCAATAAAAAAAAAGATACATTTGTCAAGAATCATAACGTACAACACTTAATGATAGTCATAGGGTACAAATAAGCAATCAGGAAACAATCAATATCAATATAAATCGTAAGGATACAAGCAACAAAGTTAGTCATACAGTCATAACTGGAAGGAGATGGGTGATGGGAACGATGAGAAGGTTAATAGTAGTGCAGATTTAGTAAATAGTTTGACAGTGTTGAGGGAATTATTTGTTTAGCAGAGTGATGGCGTTCGGGGAAAAACTGTTCTTGTGTCGAGTTGTTTTGGTGTGCAGTGCTCTATAGTGTCGTTTTGAGGGTAGGAATTGAAACAGTTTATGTCCAGGATGTGAGGTGTCTGTAAATATTTTCACAGCCCTCTTTTTGACTTGTGCAGTATACAGGTCCTCAATGGAAGGCAGGTTGGTAGCAATTGGGGTTTGTTTTTTTTGCTATGTTCTAATTATCCTCTGAAGTCTGTGTCTGTCTTGTTGGGTTGCAGAACCAACCCAGACAGTTATAGAGGTGCAGATAATAGAGTCAATAAATAAAATAATAATAATAATAATGAAATGAAATAAAATAAAATAAAATGAAATAAAATGGTAGAAAGGGAAAATCAAATGAAAACAAATATTTTTGTTTCACAGTAGTATATCCCAATAGTACATCTACAGTTAATTACCCGCAGAAAAATATATAATATTAAAGCCATTTCAAACTATAATTTAATATCATAGTTTCACCAGTTGTTTTAAAATCAGCTATTAATCAATAGCTAAAGCAACTTATGGCTTAGTGTGCCTGCAAATGTTTCTGCTCCACATGTAGTTTGCTTTAAGTAAAATTAGAAAATAAAAAAAACTATCCTTTCTTCCTATGGACTTTCCCATTGACTGCTGGGAATAGTACATTTTAGTCATATTCACTTCTGCCCTGATCCCATATGCATTTTTATGTGTATGTGCGAGAAAAGGAATGGTATACATGTGGATGATAGTAAATGGGTACATATGTGAATAGGTATGACTCATTGGCTCCTTCTGCAGTTCTCCAAATGATTCAAAGCAGCCAGTGCAGCTTCCCAGTATGAAATGCTTAAGTAGACCTACTGAATGAATTATTTATTTTTCCTGCTTCTTTAGACTTTATTTACCTCCAGTGTTCTGAAGAGACGTAGATCCAAAAACAATAATCTTTCCTGGAGTGCCAAAAACTTGTTCTCCGAGTTTTTCATAAACCATGCAGCCTAGTTAAACCAAGGTGAAGAGAGATGGCAATTAATCACAACAAGGAACAGTATCTCTAATCATTTACTGTACATTTGTTGCATACCTATGTATATCATATTCTATTTTTTTATCTTTTAACTGACAAATGAGATGTAAAGCATAAGAAGCAGAAAGCACCTCTGCATCATAGCATTTGTTCTCTCCAGTTCTTTGCAAAAAAAAGTCTAAAGCTATTATCTTCACTTCTCATAACCTTGAAAAGTAGAGAACACTTGTGAACCAATATTGCTGCCCACTTTCCTTCCGGCTGAACAGTAGGAGAGTGAAAATAATGTTGTTAAATTGGTGTCTTTGTCCAACTCTCTGATCATGAACTAACAAAAGTTCTTTTACCCTTAGTCAAAATTAAAATAAAATAAATTGCAAGGGAATATTTGTGGTGGTGGTTTACAATAAATATTGTGAGGTTGTAGTGATGGGAATGTCAGTGTTCCAAGTACCATATTTTTCGGACTATAGGACGCACTTTTTTATCTCCCAAAACTGGGTAAAAATGTCTGTGCATCTTATAGACCGAATATTGCCAAAGCCCCGCCCACTTGCTAGCCATTTTTTTGCCTCAACACGCCCCATTTTCGGGCCTTTTTTCGGCCCATTTTCGGGGCTTTTTTCAGCCCATTTTCACGGCTTTTTTGGGCCCTTTTCAAGGCTTTTTTTGGCCCATTTTCACGGCTTTTTTGGCCCATTTTTATTTATTTATTTAATTTATTTATTTATTGGTTCGATTTATATGCCGCCCTTCTCCGGAGACTCAGGGTGGCTTACAATGCGTTAAGCAATAGCCTTCATACTTTTTGTATATACCTGCTTAGTAGGGCTTTCAGCCCCCCGAAGCAGTGCTCTTTTATATACAAAGTCAGCTTACTGCCCCCACAATCTGGGTCCTTATTTTACCTACCTTGGAAGGATGGAAGGCTGAGTCAACCTTGAGCCTGGTGAGATTTGAACTCGCAGTAATTGCAGGCAGCTGGCAGCTAAGTGCTACTTAATAGCTGTGCCACCAAGGCTCCTTATTCCTTCCAGTTGAAAATTTTTGAGGTTTTTGGCCCATTTTCAAGGCTTTTTTGGCCACTTTTTAAAGAAAAAAAATGGCCTAAAAAAAGCCTCAAAAACAAGCTGAAGAAAGCCGAAAAAACAAGCCAAAAAAAGCCTCAAATACGGGCTGAAGAAAGCCTAAAAAATGGGCCGAAAAAAGGCGAACAAATGGGACGAAAAAGCCTCAAAAACAGGCCAAAATAAGCCTCAAAGACGGGCCAAAAAAAGCTTCAAAGACGGGCCAAAAAAAGCCTAAAAATGGTCAAAAAAAAAGCCTAAAAAATGGTCCAAAAAGGCTGGAAAAGGCCCAGAAAAAGGCCTGAAAATGAGGTGTGCGGAGACCAAAAACTTTTTTTTGTTGATTTCCTCTTCTAAATTTAGGTGCGTCTTATAGTCAGATGCGTCTTATAGTCTGAAAAATATGGTAATGCACCCATAGATAGCAGAACTCTGAGGCAGGTAGATTCCTCAAAGAATAATTTATTGGATATATCATATTGGCACAACTGGTGAAAACCGACTCTGAAAGTTCCCGTGGTTTTCACCCAGTTTATTTTCCCTTCACTTTTAAAACATATATTTTCATATACTCTTTAACCTCATTATCTTATTAAGATCATATTTGAACTATGGCATTATATACTTTTTTAGTTTTATAAAGCAAAACTAAACAATGGCTCTATATTTTTCTAGGTTTAACAAAGCATATTTAATTTTTTTTAGAATTAATAAAGCAAAACAAAATAGGGTGGAAGATTTAGGCTTTTATATACCATATTCATTATCTATATGTTATTCCTTGGAAGTGAAATAATATAAAGTTTTATAAAATACCTGTTTCCTTTGCACAAGCTAACAAGAGATTTATTGAATAGATGGAGAGCAGTGTCACTGAAATCAAAAGCAACCTATAAGAAAAAACAAGAAAAATACTTTTTAGCACTATAATATAAAACTTGAGTAAGCATGGATGTATAGCAGTAATATGAATATAACTTTAATTTAAACCATGAGGGCCTCCCTTAGGTTAACATAATTACTTGGGGCAGGTTGGCTGCCTTCTCAATAACACAGTGACAAATGACAAATCATATATTAAAATAATTGCTCTGAATGAAATTTGTCATTTGGTCCTAAGGAATTTTGGACCAAGCATTTTGAGGACACTGGAGCTCACACACTTCTGAGTGTAGCAACTTTAAATTTAGCTATTAATACTAAACAAGTAATTTGTTTTGCGAATTCTAGATATTTGGCTTAAATTCTTTGCACTGAAATACTCAGAAAATCAATTTTAAGAATACTTGCTGAAGAACTTTTCCATTAGAATTATCTCAATCTTACTTCATGTTTATCTAGAATTTGTGCCAAAATTATAATAGGTATTTAATCATAATTCTATTTCTGCAGGAGTAATGTGCTCTTAGCAAAACATGAATTACAATTGAATTGTACACACTAATTCTCAGTACAGACACTCCATAGGTTAAGATCAAGTTCTGTTGCCCTCTATCTATAACTCTTTACGATGACAAAAAAAGTAAAGCACTGAAGCTGTGCAATGTTTTCATGAGTTACTGAAAACAGGCTGTACACTATTTAAAAGCAAACATTCTACTTTGTGACACTTATGAAAGCACTGCACAGCTTCAGTGGTTCATCCACCATTTTGAGTTGGATCATGTTGCCAATCAGCGGTCCACCATTTTAAGTACCATAACAAGGCAGCCATCTGGTATTTTGTAACAGGCAGCCCTGTTCATAACTAGGGGTTGTCTTCAGGTTGGATGTTCTTAGCCCAGGGCTGTCTGTGCATTCAAAAGGTCTTACTCTAAATATGTGGGCAGAGTTGTAAAATTAGAGGTTTTATGGTTTCAAATTGTCAGTATAAATCTGATTTGCAGATTCAGTTTATTGGGATAATGTAAGAGCAAGAGCACTGAGTAATAGAAGTCAGGATTGTGAAATTCATATGAGGATTACAAGGGGAGCTTTGTGAAATTCTGCTGCTGAGAAACACCCTCAGGGAAATTGCCACCTCTGTGGCTTCTCATCATCGTTTGCACACTATATAGATGTAATGGAATGAGAAAGGAGAGGAAGAGATACTGCCTAGAACACAAACAGACAAAAGAGGCAACAGTTCCCAGTGACTTAATGTTCAGAGTAAGAAATTTAAGGAAGATCTGCCCTAATGAAGCAAGTGATGTGTATGAAGTTTGTGCCTTTAGATTTGCAAGATTCTGTTAACATAACCTTACAATAAAATAGAATTAGTTCAATGTTTCCTGCCTGGTTTACCTGACAGCAGATTGGTTTGTGTGACAAAAATTAACATTACGGAGAGTGGCTTAGGTGGAGCAAGACCATAAATATTATAATAACCAGACATTTTGGACCACGGAGAATAGGCATAAATCCCATTCTAGAACGGGGCATTTTAGGGTCATTTATTTAAAAGATGCTATTTTAAGAGTCCAAATAACATCTGTGAGATTACTATTTGCTAAAACTATTTCATTTCCAAATCTAAATTTAGAAAAATTTAGTCTTAAATTTTTGACAACCATCTTATTTAGGATTATTCAAAAATGAAATGTACTTTAATAAATATAATTCACCTTATCATACCCATTAAAAACAGTTGGAAAGAAGCTTAATGGTATGGTTGGCCATTACTAGATCAAAGTAACAACTGAAAATTGGCAATTCAAACTTGAAAACAAGAATAACAAAGAAAGACCTATGCCTCATAGATCCTACATAGATTAAATTACCTGACTAAATCTGGAGTGATTTAGTATAGAATGTCACAAATGTCTTTTGGTTTAATTCAGCTTCATATTACCAGTATTTTTCTGTAAAATATTGATACCAGAGACCAACGATTTCTGGATTAGGAAGTATCCAATATCATGCCCACAACAACTATGGACAAGATATTCTGTCATTTAGTATCATAGAATAGAATAGAATAGAATAGAATAGAATAGAATAGAATAGAATAGAATAGAATAGAATAGAATAGAATAGAATAGAATAGAATAGAATAGAATAGAATAGAATTTTTTATTGGCCAAGTGAGATTGGACACTCAAGGAATTTGTCTTGGTGTATATGCTCTCAGTGTACATAAAAGAAAAGATACGTTCATCAAGAATCATAAGGTACAACACTTAATGATAATCATAAGGTACAAATAAGCAATCAGGAAACAATCGATACCAATATAAATCGTAATCTGACTAAACTATATAACTACGAAAATTTATTATCAGAAAGTTCTATTCCATTACTACTTATTTGAAAGTAAAATCTTTCAAAAACATTTTTAGTTTCTAAATATGAAAGACTAAACTAAAGACTAAATAGTGAAAATGAATTATTTTTCTAAGATAGCAGAGCAAATCTAAAAATGTTCTGTTAGACTTCAATTTATTTCTCAAATATATGCTTTTTTTAACTTTTTAGAATTGGAAGATTAGAAATTGCCTCTCTGGGTATTTTAGTATAAAGTGATTACTTTTCTTCTCCTTTAATAACTTTTTTTAAATGAGATGAGTCAAGATATATAGATTTATTAAAATAATTACCATAGTTGATCTAATGGAAAAAGACCCTTATATCCATCTTACTGAAGATGTGTTTCAGAGACTTGAATATTCAGGCGTGCTTAATAGTATATACCAGCAGAATTAATAAGGATGCCTTTAGATCAGAGGTGTCAAACTCAAACTCACCCTGGCCCATGGGGTGGTTAGATCTGGCCCGCAGGGCTGCCCTGGAAACAGCGAAGAACCAGCCCGTGCCTCTGCCAGCAAAAATGGAGCTTGGGAGGGCTGCACATGGCACACTCAAGCTCTGTTTTCAACTGCCACAGCCTCCTGCAACCCTCTACCAGCGAAAATAGAGCTTGGGAGGGCCGCACATGGCCCTTCCGAGCTCCGTTTTCGCTGGAAGAGCACTCAGACGCCCCAGACACGATTCACATTGAGCTGGTCACACAACTTATCCCTCCGCTCCCCAGGTCAAACACAACCCTGATGCAGCCCTCAATGAAATTGAGTTTGATACCCCTGCTTTAGATTATTTACTAATACATTTGAACAAGCAAAATGTCTAGATTCTGCTCTTCAACAACCATGTTTTACATGCCAGTAATTTCAATTTTGTTGCCAATTGTTTTCTATCCTAATTATTCAGATTTGGTCAAGATATTTATTGATTAAACCAAGATGTTTAATTCTTTAAAAAAACCCTACATTGTGCTACAGTAATCTGTATTTGTATTACCTGGTAAGAAATCAACTCAAGCACAACTTTTATACAAAAAATTACATTTATGTGTTCTTTCCCCCATCAAATAGCATGGGAGTTTGTGTACCTTTCTTGAATGGTATCAGACTGCATCAACTAGCATTTGTGGGGACGGGAATTGTTCATGAAGTTCTAAATAACAAACATGGTAACTGTAGTGGTTTCATGTCCCTAACAATTTTGGGGTAGGCAAAAATCTTATTAATATCTATATGGAGTGGACTGAATATAAACAATTTCAACCAGTAAACATTTGCCACCTTCTACACAGCATACCAATTATAGCATGACGCTATGCACAGCTTAAGTTTCAGATCCTCTGTTAATGCTTGTATGAATAAGATTTACTCAAGAACTGTTGAGCCCATACCAGATGCCCTGAGCCAGACTTTCAAAATATGCTTACTTGATGTGATGTGAATTAGTCACATCACTCTGGGGCAAGTGAAGTCAAGCTCTTAAAATCATTATTTAATATAGTACACAGTCAATTACAATGCAACTTTTTATTGTTAACATAAGCAGTTTTATAAGGCAATATTTTGTCCTTAATGCATTACAGTATGACTAGTGTGCATAATTCCTCTAATGATCTCCACTATATTTACTACTCTTATTTTCAATGAATAAATGTTTGTTGTTTTGTAAGTCACTTTGAAGAAATATAATTCCTGCAATATTTTTCTTTAAAAGTCCTTTTCTATTTTTCTAAAAGAGAACCATTGTGGTGGCACAGTGGTTAGAATGCAGTATTACAGTGGTTAGAATGCAGTATTGACTCTGTCCGGTGCCAGGAGTTCAATGTTGATCAGCTCAAGATTGACTCAACCTTCCATCCTTGCAAGGTCAATAAAATAAGAACCCAGATTGTTGAGGGCTTTATGCTAACTCTGTAAACTGTTTAGTAAACACTATGAAGAGGTATATAAGTCTTATTGCTATTCCTAAAAGATAATTTGTGTGATAGTGAAATCACTTGCATCTGAATTATAAGGTACATTTTATCTCTACCTGCCCATGTGAACCTTTGGCTTCTACATTTCTTTCTTCCTTCTCTGTTCCATCCTAGCTTCAAGGTTAGTTCATTTCAACTTTCTATTAAAATTATTTGCTTTTTTCTCACAGAATAAATGTAATTAATCTTTATCACTTAAGAAGTTCCAATGCTTTCGAACTTGCTTCTTTCTTTATAGCATAGCTGAATCCAATAGTCTAGATTCATACAGTGCAAATAATAATCATTGGCTCTGACTGTAACAGGAGTAGATTTATGAAGGAAGCCTAAGCCCTGAAACTTGTGTGTATAAATAAAATGTTAACCAGTTCAGTGAGAAGTGAGTCTCAGAAATGGAACTGCCTGAAATATGTCCTCAGAGAAATTACATTTACATTGCATTATATTACCTAGTGGTAAGATACATAATATAATAAAAGTAATAAATAATAAAAGTAATAAAAATAATAAAAGTATTATTAAACTTGATTTTGCTCCATTGTTTGACTCAAAGAAGAAGAAATGTTCATATAAACTACTGTTCATAGTAGTTTATTAAAAAGCCTCACACAAATACTTTCAGCAAAAATAAAAAAA